AGACAGCTCCCGGATGGGAAAACACCATGGCAGTGAAGGACGGAAAAGCATCAAAATTGCAACCAAAAACTGCCTAATGTAACTTCTGAAACCCATAGAAAAGGATTATTTTAGCTACTTTTTCCTCCTGCTGCTGCTGCTGCTCCTGCTCTTGCTACTCCTTCTGTTCAAAAGACAAGAAAAGTAGCCATCTTCTAGCTTTCCAAGCTCAGAAACGGCGCCTCCGCCACGCTCAAACAGCAGGGCCCTGAAGGACGGAAAAGCATCAAAATTGCGACCAAAAACTGCCTAATGTAACTTCTGAAACCCATAGAAAAGGATGATTTTTTAGCTACTTTTTCCTTCTGCTGCTGCTGCTCCTGCTCTTGCTGCTCCTTCTGTTCAAAAGACAGCTCCCGGATGGGAAAACCCATAGAAAAGGATGATTTTTTAGCTACTTTTTCCTTCTGCTGCTGCTGCTCCTGCTCTTGCTGCTCCTTCTGTTCAAAAGACAGCTCCCGGATGGGAAAACACCATGGCAGTGAAGGACGGAAAAGCGTCAAAATTGCGACCAAAAACTCCCTAATGTAACTTCTGAAACCCATCGAAAAGGATTATTTTAGCTACTTTTTCCTCCTGCTGCTGCTGCTGCTCCTGCTCTTGCTACTCCTTCTGTTCAAAAGACAGCTCCCGGATGGGAATTTCCAAGCTCAAAAACGGCGCCTCCGCCACGCTCAAACAGCAGGGCCCTGAAGGACGGAAAAACATCAAAATTGCGACCAAAAACTGCCTAATGTAACTTCTGAAACCCATAGAAAAGGATGATTTTTTAGCTACTTTTTCCTCCTGCTGCTGCTGCTCCTGCTCTTGCTGCTCCTTCTGTTCAAAAGACAGCTCCCGGATGGGAAAACACCATGGCAGTGAAGAATGGAAAAGCGTCAAAATTGCGACCAAAAACTCCCTAATTTCCAAGCTCAGAAACGGCGCCTCCGCCACGCTCAAACAGCAGGGCCCTGAAGGACGGAAAAGCATCAAAATTTCGATAGAAAAGGATGATTTTAGCTACTTTTTCCTCCTGCTGCTGCTGCTCCTGCTCTTGCTACTTCTGTTCGAAAGACAAGAAAAGTAGCCGTCTTCTAGCTTTCCAAGCTCAGAAACGGCGCCTCCGCCAGGCTCAAACAGCAGGGCCCTGAAGGACGGAAAAGCATCAAAATTGCGACCGAAAACTGCCTAATGTAACTTCTGAAACCCATAGAAAAGGATGATTTTTTAGTTACTTTTTCCTTCTGCTGCTGCTGCTCCTGCTCTTGCTGCTCCTTCTGTTCAAAAGACAGCTCCCGGATGGGAAAACACCATGGCAGTGAAGGACGGAAAGCATCAAAATTGCGACCAAAAACTCCCTAATGTAACTTCTGAAACCCATAGAAAAGGATGATTTTAGCTACTTTTTCCTCCTGCTGCTGCTGCTGCTCCTGCTCTTGCTACTCCTTCTGTTCAAAAGACAAGAAAAGTAGCCATCTTCTAGCTTTCCAAGCTCAGAAACGGCGCCTCCGCCACGCTCAAACAGCAGGGCCCTGAAGGACGGAAAAGCATCAAAATTGCGACCAAAAACTGCCTAATGTAACTTCTGAAACCCATAGAAAAGGATGATTTTTTAGCTACTTTTTCCTTCTGCTGCTGCTGCTCCTGCTCTTGCTGCTCCTTCTGTTCAAAAGACAGCTCCCGGATGGGAAAAAACCATGGCAGTGAAGGACGGAAAAGCATCAAAATTGCGACCAAAAACTCCCTAATGTAACTTCTGAAACCCATAGAAAAGGATTATTTTAGGAAACCTATAATAGTAGTAGTATAGCTGTAGCTGCTGCACAGACTTTTGCTGCTGCTGCTGCTGGCTCCCGGATGGAAAACACCTTGGAAAAAATCACCTGCCGGCAGGAAAACACCATGCCTCTGAAGGACGGAGAAGCCCCAAAATTGCACCCCGAAAATGCCTAACGTCTGAAACCCATAATAGTAGTAGTATAGCTGTAGCTGCTGCTATGTATGCATTTTGGCTACCTTTTCCTCCTGCTGCTGCACAGACTTTTGCTGCTACTGCTGCTGGCTCCCGGATGGAAAACACCATGAAAAAAAACACCTGCCGGCAGGAAAACACCATGCCTCTGAAGGACGGAGAAGCTCCAAAATTGCACCCCGAAAATGCCTAACGTAACTTCTGAAACCCATAATATAGTACTAGTATCAGACACGTAACTTCTGAAACCCATAATAGTAGTAGTATAGCTGTAGCTGCTGCTATGTATGCATTTTGGCTACCTTTTCCTCTTGCTGCTGCACAGACTTTTGCTGCTGCTGCTGCTGCTGGCTCCCGGATGGAAAACACTATGAAAAAAATCACCTGCCGGCAGGAAAACACCATGCCTCTGAAGGACGGAGAAGCCCCAAAATTGCACCCCGAAAATGCCTAACGTAACTTCTGAAACCCATAGAAAATGAATTTTGGCTACCTTTTCCTCCTGCTGCTGCAGACGCTTTTGCTGCTACTGGTGCCTGTTGGACTTACTGCTGCTGCCTGCTGCTGCCTGCTGCTGCCTGCTGCTGGTGCTGCTGCTGGTGGCTGCTGCTGCTGCTGTGGTGCTGCGGTGGTGCTGCTGTGGTGCTGCTGTTGTGCTACGGCAATCAAACAGCTTCCAAAGCAAGAAACAGCTACTGCTGCTGCTGCTGCTGCCTAATTATGTAGACTAAAGACTATACACTATAGGCTGCTGCCTGCTGCGTGCTGCTGCCTGCTGCTGCCTGCTGCTGCCTGCTCCTGCCTGCTAAGTCCCCCAGCAAAGGGTCATGGTTTGTTGTTGTTGGTTGTTGTTTCCTGTCGTTTGTTGTTGTTTGGTGTTATTTGTTATTGTTGTTTGCTGCAACTCAGGGCAGGAAGGGCAACCCAAGGAGCCCCACGTACTTCGAGGAGACTCCGGGAAGGACCCCCCACCGGTGAAACAAAAACCCCGGAGTCAAGGAATCGAGGTACGTGACCGGTGGGAGGGGGACCCAAGAGAGTCCCCCGGCAAAGGGTCATGGTGTGTTGTTGTTGGTTGTGGTTGTTGTTGTTGTTGGTGGTGGTGGTGGTGGTGGTGGTGGTATTGTTGTTGTTGTTGTTGTTGTTGTTGTTGTTGTTGTTGTTGTTGTTGTTGTTGTTGTTGTTGTTGTTGTTGTTGTTGTTGTTGGTTTGTTGTTGTTTGGTGTTTGGTGTTATTTGTTATTGTTGTTTGCTGCAACTCAGGGCAGGAAGGGCAACCCAAGGAGCCCCACGTACTTCGAGGAGACTCCGGGAAGGACCCCCCACCGCTGAAACAAAAACCGGAGTCAAGGAATCGAGGTACGTGACCGGTGGGAGGGGGACCCAAGAGAGTCCCCCGGCAAAGGGTCATGGTGTGTTGTTGGTTGTGGTTGTGGTTGTGGTTGTGGTTTGTTGTTGTTGTTGTTGCTGTTGTTGTTGTTGTTGTTGTTGTGTGGTGTTGGTTGTTGGTGTTGGTGTTGTTGTTGTTGTTTGTTGTTGTTGTTGTTGTTGTTGTTTTTGTTGTTTGTTTGTTTGTTGTTGTTGTGTTGGTGTTGGTGTTGGTGTTGTTGTTGTTGTTGGTGGTGTTGTTGTTTGTTGTGTGTTGTTGTTGTTGTTGTTGTTGTTGTTGTTGTGTTGTTCTTGTTGTTGTTCTTGTTCTTGTTCTTGTTGTTGTTGTTCTTGTTCTTGTTCTTGTTGTTGTTCTTGTTGTTGTTCTTGTTGTTGTTCTTGTTGTTGTTGTTGTTGTTCTTGCTGCCTGCTGCTGCCTGCTGCTGCCTGCTGCTGCCTGGTAGTAAAAGTAGCAGTGCAGCACCTCTTCTTCCCTTACGCGCTCCCCCTTGCATCGGCCGGGGTCAGCGAATTATTATTATTCTTTCCTGGCAGCTGTGTCATAAACTCTTTTTCCCTTACGCACTGCGAATTATTATTATTCTTTCCTGGCAGCTGTGTCATAAACTCTTTTTCCCTTACGCACTCCCCCTTGCGTCTGCCGGGGTCGGCGGACATACATACATACATACATACATATATATATATATATGCATACATATACATATACATACATATGCACATATATATATATGTATATGTATAAATATGCATATCATGAACATTTTGTGCCATCTATCTCTGTCTTCCTGGAAGAATCTGATGATTTCAGGCTGGGGAGCTTGACGAGGCGGCTGAGGTCCCCCGCAGAATGGGAGCAGAATGGGTCTTGTTGACATTTTTGAGCAGTTTGAGATTCTGATGCTTCATTTATTTATCTATATATAATATATATATATTTTAATTTGAATATATGTATATATATATATTGATATATTTATTTATTTGTTTTTATTTGTTTTTATATATATAATATATTTACTTATTTATTTATATATATATTTGTATGATTATTTATTTTTATATATTTATTTATTTATTTCTAAATATGTATATATTATTTATATGATATATATTTATTTTTTCTTTAAATTTATTTTTTCTTTCTTTATTTATTATATATATATTTATTGTTGTTTAAAAAACATTTATTTATTTATTTATATATTTATATATTTTGCTTTATTCAGACTTTGGGCCACTTTCTGGTGAAATCTTGGCGGTCTTGAGATGCAAGGAGGTCGACGCAAGAAGGTCAAACACAGAATATGTAAAGGGGAGGATATGCTGAGACTTTGATTCTCAAGGCAGGAAGAGTCACATGAGATGCTTGGAAGGTGTTTCGCAAAGCCATTGCTTGCAGCTGCCGAGTTTTGGGAAAGCAGCATCCCCTGTCCTTGAAAGCCCAGAGCAATCTCGTTGCTTCTCAGCTGAATTAAATCCCCATCAAATTCCTTTGGTGCAATGATGTCAACAATTGGATGGCCACTTTTTTCCACGGCCTTCCAATCCCACAATGGATGTGAGAGAAAGCATGCTTACACTGCTTGCAGCATCCCCAACAGTTTTGGACCAAACCATGGCCTCTCCTCAGAATTCTCAGGTGAATCCATTGATTCTGCTGTGATTCCCAGGTGATCCTCCATCAGCTGGGGAAGTTGACTGAAGCCAAGCAGCTGCAAGGCGAGTTGGTGCCCCTCCTGGAGCAACGTTTTGGGTCGACGGCGCCGTCGACCAGTGCCATGGCAATGCTGATGACAAGGACGACAAGGACTTCATTAAGGGCGAATCTTAACCACGCACCGCAACGAATAGGGGTTTTATTAATCATAGGGGGAGAGGAGGGGTTGAACTGGTTGAATCCCCACTGAGGGAAAGCAGTGGAGTTCTTGACTTTGCTCGAGAAGGAGTCATTTGGCAAAAAGCGAAAGAGCCTTGGAGGTGCATCAGAGAGCAGACTTTGCAGTGCCCAAGAGATCACATGGCAGGATATGGCTCGACCTTTCCCACTGAGGAGAGATCAGCTTGAAATCCCCAAGAAGTCAACAGTCTTCACAACACATTTTTACTACATTTTGTTGTTGCTAAACTTTGATCTCAGGAATGCCAGCCCTCACAGACAGCGGCGCGGCAAAAGGTTGCGTTGCTCATCCCTGTGCCATGTGCAACCGGTACCGAGCAGCAGGTTTATCCACAGCCGTTGGGGGTCTGCGCTTTCGCCCAGGTCCGCTTTTTGGCACGTGGAAAGGGCCAAAGCAATGGCTGGTGCTTGAAGGCCCAAGGTGGGCCTAAGCGGCTATACTGACCTGAGATATCAACACATCCAAGACCTCACGCCATGCCGTTGGGAAAGTACTGGTAATCTCCGAAATTGATCTAACCGAGAGTCTTGGCCGGAACCGGCTGTATGCCGTGGTAGAGATCACAATTTACCACAGATTTCCCCCTAATTATATACGTCAACCCAGTCCATGAGAGGGAGTGCATTCAAAGATGGGGCACCGCAGGTCGTTACAAGGGCTACACCTCTGCGCCAGGAAACAATGTGACAGTGGGAGCCTCTATCCACCTCTTCATGGGCTCGGTTGGAGCAGGGAGCACATGATTGGAGTGTCAGACTAATAATTATTTATTATCATCCAACATCCACTTTTTTTTGAATGTTGTGTGTTGTTTGGAGACATCCATTCGTTGAGGAGTTCGGTGTCCGGTTCGGTTTGAGTTCTTCATGGGCTCAAGCCCTCCAATTGAATCTGAGGCAGTCTAGCTGTAAAAACCACGGGAGGTCGCTGGAAAGTTGCGAAGTTTCAAAGGCAGCTTGGTTCTGGGCATTGCAGCCATGTCATGTTGTGAACCCAGCGGGACGATGGAATTTCCTTGATGATTTGCCCATTGAAACACCTCATCTCTAAGGGGGGTTAGGGCTAGGGATTTCCCTTTGCCAGTGAGGAACGGAGGGTCTGACTGGATTCAAGCTTGCACATCCCGCCGCCGAGAGGTCAATGGAATGGTCGAACTGCAACTGGCAGATGACTCGATCAGAAAAGATGGAGGACACCGATGGGTTCCACCTTAAATTTTGTGTGTGGAGCGGCGTGGCCCCGGCTATGCGGCTATGCTCCTCTGAAGCCGCAATGTTCTGAAACTTGAGCAACACCCTACTGGAAGGTGGGTGGACGTCTTATGTTTCAGACTAGATGAGCTATTTGTGGACGTTGGCCAACCCATGTTCATCAAGAGAGTGTTTCAGACCCACATGGCGGGGTTTGCTCACCCGCTGTTGTGACTCATGTAGCTGTAGCTGGTGGCTGATCAAAATCAGTTCAGACATTCAAACGCAAAACATCCAAACACGGTGCCCCAAAGCCCATCGAATCATTGGGGCCCCTTTATTAAAGCAAGGACCCATAACTTGGATGATTTTGGGTAGCCCATTGACATGTGAATCCTCCAACCACAATGGCAGCCATGGCAGCCTCTCGATGTGTTGGCTTTGTGGGCCTTGGGAGTATGGGCTCAGGCAGGGAACTCAGTGACTTCAGACGGTGCACCCCAGTTACTAAGTTGGTAGCAAGATGTAAGAACCATGCTTAGTCATGGTTGGGTTCACCCAGTTGAACCCGGGTGCAAGGCATGGCAGCCAACTTGGTAGCGAGACTAGGGGCGTCAACAGACAAGGCCAGAACCAGTTCCTGAAGTGTTTCTTTGCAGCCAATTTCGGACACGGATGATGTACATCGACAGACAGACAGACAGACAGGCAGACAGACAGACAGACAGATAGATAGAGTAAATTATGGCGACATACTTATGACTTATGTTTTTTTGACTTATTTTTTTTGGGGCACATGCACACACGCGAATTGTACATATTGTATTTCAAGTTTCCACATTGCTCCACCAGCGCCGACCAGGCGCTCCCTTCGCGCCCGCGCCTTCTTTTGTTCGACGCTCGCCCTGAAGCGGTGGACCGCCTACTCGCGGCAAACACTGCCGCCATGACACGGCGGGCTTCCAGCTACTGGGAAGAACATTTCAACAAGAAAAAAGTAAGGGATTCACATTGCGATTGCAAGGGATGGCACCTTTCCGAAGACTTTTTGCAACATTTTTTAGGGTTTGACCAGACAAATTTTTGATTTTGAGGCGCCCCAAAGAGGGGATCCAACGGGCAGGTTTTAGTCAACGAGCAATATCAGAGAGTTGCAACCGTAAGTTGGGAGACTTGCTAAGAAGACAGCTCCTTGGTGGCTTCTTGCCTTTTCCATGTTCATCCCTACCTCGGTGAATGATCCCAACGACTTTCCAATTTTTCAGGGTTCAAACCACCAACCGAAGTGAAACTCCCCTTTCTCGGGAGTTTTGTATGTGGGTTGCCCAAGATTCCACCCTAAACCAGCCGAGGCTTGGAGGCTCTGGCGGCCGAGTGTGGCATGATTCTTCTCTGTTTACCAGATGGCGCGGTGGTGAAACGCACCGTGCAGGCCATGGTCTCCTCTTTGCAACCAGGACGGAGACGCGGCGAAGCCTTCAGTGAAGAAGATATCTAGCAATCTGTGCCATAGATTCGTGTCCGAGTTCAACAACCTTTTGGCAAATTATATATATGCGACCAGAGATGCCGAAACCATTTTCAAATCTTGGAAAAAGGCAGAGCAAGGAAGGTGGGTCAACGTTTGATTGTTTTCTGTCTGTTCCAGCTGTATTCCCATTCCCCTAATATTCAATACCACCCACATGGGCTTTTAAGATCTTTTAAGTGAATAGATCCAATACATAACCAGGGTTGGGGGGTATTTAATGTTAGGGGAAATGGCTTCAGGATCACTCGTGGTGGACAATAGCACCACTTCACCTGCAACGGCCCGGGAAACTTCGCAGCTTTTGTCGGAACGAGGCGTGAGGGTTGGTAGTCTGATTGGGGTCAGCTTTCTTGCCCTACAAGTTTTGCATAATTTTGCCAGAAATTGGAAAATAGAATTAAGAAAGTGGACACACCAGCTCAAAAGTCATATGTTCTTTTCTTTCCGGCCAAAGTTTTTGGAACCCCAGGGATCCAATCCTATTCAAATCCAATATGATTGGAGGTTCCAATCACATTCTCACCATGGTCTTGGCCTTATGTGATTCGCAGGAAATCCTCGGATCCCCAGCATAAGATTAAGTCATCTCGTGGGGAAGGTTTTTCCAGGGTAAGACCTTCCCACGATATCCCACGATGATTAACCGTCGGCATTGGACATTTTAAGACCTTAGGCAAGTTTTCCCTTAAGAACTCACAAATCATTTCTTTCCTGAGCGCCTCCTCTGGTTGGAAAATCACCCAGTTATCGTTCGATGATTTCCCAGCTATAAAACACATTTAGTGCGGGGATTTCCCCGCCATGCTTGACCAGAGGGTAAGCCATTGTTGTTCTGACGAATTCCAGGTTTCCAACTTTTCTGATATTCCAACTTTTACCCATCTAACCCCTAGGTTAGTTATATCCTATTATGTATTATATACCCCGATTATTTGATTGGAATAAGAAGTGTTTACTGGTATGCCCAGTATATTATACACACTATTATTTACCCCATTATCATTATTATACTACTATTATCCTATCATCATACTATCATTATCAGTAATTATCACATACCCTGTTCATATTAATATAATTATAATATATATATATATATAGATGTAAACATATACCGATATACCCTAGGCCCTATGGTTGGGTTATCAACCAACCCACCCCTCCGGCGATGGCACTCGAGGCATCGCTTTCCTGGACGCGCCCGTCACCGGTGCGCCACAGCGGGCCAGCGATGGCACGCTGACGGTCATGGCGCCTCAGCTGTTACGTGAAGTCACGAAAGAATACGAAAGAGGTGCCAGGTGCAGGCTAGGAAGATCTAGGAAGTTCCAAAATTTGGGAGGTATAAAGGTATAATGGGATAGGATACCTTGACTATATTGTAGGCTAGGAAATCCATCACTAGACAAAGAAGTTCCAGTCATTGTGCACATCCAAGTTATGCCGTTATGCCAACAGAAGGGGGGCGATATCACTCCAAGGTCGGAGGATGTGAGAAGCGCTTAGAAGAAGCCCGGCCGGTCCTTAGCAGCTTCGCATCGAAGGTGCTGCACATGGGAGCCACCGGCAATGGTCAACTTTCCAAAGCTCTTAATAATTGCCTGGCGCCCCGGTGTTGGGAAAAATCTAAGCTCTCTACTCCGGCGCAGAACTGCTCACTTTGCGAAAGTGAGTGGACATAAAAAAACCTTTGTGAGGTGATGGGGATTTGAAAACAGCAATAATGGTTAATCATGGTTGATATTTGGTTCACCATGGTTAACCCATAAAATATGGTGGATAATCATGGTTAAGAATGGTTGATAATGGTGAATAATGGTCGATATTTGGATAGATATCCCATTATCAACCATTGTTAACCATCTATGGAACCATTCTGGGAATCATAGACTTCTCCCAGCCACCAAGTTTTGGAGTGAGAAACTGCGAGCCATAGTGGGTATGGCTGCGCCAAGGAAGAGATGTTATCAATGCTTTTGTCATGGTTCATAATGGTTACTAATGTCCTTATGCTTACTATTTTTTGCCAGTAAAGCATCGACTTTTTGCCACTCTATCATCGTTTATGATCCATCCTTTGATCCATCGAGGTATATGTAGATTTCCTTCTTCACACAGACCCAAATATGTGATATATATATAATCCCATTCTATGACCAGCTATGGTTGGTTTACTTCCCATTTCTAGATGCTTTTTGCGTGAAAATCACGCGTTTCTTTTGGGGGGGTTGGGTGATCTATATCCATGCCAAATGGAGGTTTCTTAAAATAGGGGATCCCCAAGTCACCGTGGGTTTCAATACGAAGTCATGGTCATCCATGACTGGATGAATTGGGGGTACCCATATGACTTCGGAAATATCCAAATCACCATCTATGGTTCCATAGATGGTTAACAATGGTTGATAATGGGATCTACATCGAAATATTAACCATTATTCACCATTATCAACCATTCTTAACAATGATTATCCACCATTTTATGGGTTAACCACGGTGAACCACATAGGTTTCGTCAGCGAGGTTTGTACAACATCAGCTGTGCGGCCATGGCCGAGCTGCTGCCCTTTGCGGCCCGAGCCCAGCTGCCGCTGGAGGAGTTTGTGGAGGTGGTGAGCTCGGGCACCGGCCAGCGGCTTGGTGAATCGCCTGGGAGGACTGGTGGCTGCCTGGCTAGGATTTCTGGGTGGTTTGCCCGGATGGAAATCGGTTGAGTTTCAAAAGGTTTCAAGATGGTTTCACTGCGACAACCTGAGTTGGAATCTGACCAATGTAGTTCGGCCCCACTGATATGTGGTTGTACTCCCAGTTGGTCTCCGGCACTTTTAAATCAATTTGAATCTGATTGTTGTGATACCCTCTGGTAAACAAACATAGCTATTGAAAATGGCCATTTACAGGGATCTTCCCTTTGAAAATTGTGATTTTCCATAGTTATGTAAACGTTTACCAGAGGGTAAACATCGTTTGAACTTGAATCCGCTTCTCTTCTCCCAGGTCTTTTGGTTTCAATCAATGGGCCCCACGGATCCTGAAGCGCAACTTGGTGATGAACAACATCCTTTTTGGTGGAAGGAAGATGGACTCAAAGGAAGATAAACTCTATACCCTCTGGTTATTTAACATAGCCATGGAAAATGGTCCATTTAAAGATGGTTTACCTATATATTAAAAATGGTGATTTTCCATGGCTATGTTAAATAACCAGAGGGTACTACTATACATCTACACAGGAACTCAAAGTGCTCTGCAAGGGGATCATAGATTTCCATCGAAGATGATCTGCGGATCACATCGTGTGTTCTGACTTGAGCAGTTTCGAAAAAACTCAGTTGGTTGATGATGAGTTTGGGGGCCATTTTCCGCGATATACTGCGGATTACCAGGGTTACCACAATAAGCTGGGAACCCCTATGAATTTTCAAATCTTGTTTGGACACTGCGTATATGAATCTCCCAAGTGTCCAACCCCAAAACATGGCCAAAAAAGACAATACTTAAATCAACTTTGAACCCCGTTGGTTTGGGGTTTCTTTAAAAAAATAAATAAATGCATACCAACCAACCAAAAACCACAAAACCGGGGAGGCGAGTTTGAAGCGCCAAAGCATGGCTTTCCGATGGGCTCCGCCTTCAAAGACTTTGAGACGTTGCAGGAGGCCTTTTCCAACGAAGGCTGGCGCGAAGTGATCCACGGAACACCGTGGATCTGAAGGTTTCTGGAGCGACAAATAGAGACAGCTTTCACCTCACTGGGAATCATGGTTAGTAAGGGAAATCATCCCCAAATGGCCCAACATTTCAGGTTAGTGAAATACTATAATTTACCCAGGGATATGGATGAATGATGGATGGATAGATAGATGCCAAATAACCTACTCTATAGTCTGAGTCTCTGAGTGGAGCACAAGATTTTCAATTCACGAATCCATGGATTTGAGGATGACCCTATGCAGAGACTGTCACTGCGGCTTGAGGGTCATCCCATGTGCTGTGTGCGATATATAAATGGGGCCGGAGCTTGGACATTTTATGAAGGGAAGACATCTCGAAGACATTGGTAAAATGGTAAAACATGTGCTGTGTGCGATATATAAATGGGGCCGGAGCTTGGACATTTTATGAAGGGAAGACATCTCGAAGACATTGGTAAAATGGTAAAACTGCCTGTAAGCTTGCAGAGTTGGCAGTCATTCCTGGGCTAGCGGATCATATCCCCAAGTTTGGTAAGTTTTGGTTCACCAGTTTACAGTATATCTTTTCAATCATCTACGGTTTATATAATTCACACACACACATATATATATATAATATATATATATATATGTATCAATGTCAATATCTGGTTGGTGGTTTGGAACATGGCTTTTATCTTTCCATATATTGGGAATTTCATCATACCAACTGACGAACTCCATCATTTTTCAGAGGGGTTAGCAGCAACCACCAACCAGATTATTATTAACCATCATTAACCATATATTAACCATATATTAACCAGTATATCAACCAGTATATTAACCAGTATATTAACCAGTTGAAACCACTAAATGTCAATATACACTATCATTCTGAAATATAGTGGTAATCACACGCACACACACACAACCCTTTGGCTTCCTTGGATAGTGTGAAAGGTGTCACTCGCTCCGCAGTCTGGCTTCTATGTGGAGGTAAGACAGGTAATTGGGACCCCTCTTTTGTGGGAGTCCCTGGCAGGCGGCCAGGGGTTCATCTCCTGACTGCTGTTAGTCCAGGGGTTCCTGCAAGAAGAGGACTAGAAAGGTCTAGGGCGTGCGGAGCCATGGCAAGCCCCGAGGCTTGGAGGAAGACGGGCCGTAAGGCCGCTGAGGCTCACTGGGTTGGACTAAGCCCAGGAGAGCTGGTTGAAATTGTGGTCTACAATGACCAGGGGCAGATGCAGGGGACTATCCTGGTCGAGCTGTTGCGAGAATATGAAGATCCCGCCCATGAAGGACGATCATGGCTGGGAAAAATCCATGCCTGCCAAGATGACTACTTCGCCTGGTGGGTGTCCACCACTTATGATCAAGGAGAAGCAGGCATCCACTTTTGTGGTCGTCGTGGAGACCACTGTTCAGTGCGGACTCCCTTTAGGGACGTTCTACACGTAGACGTGTTCCGGATGCTGCCTGGAGACTCAGCCCTCTCCCTTCCTTGGCTCTCCGAAGACCAGAAGAATCTCGTCACACAATTGCTGAAGGCTTCTGGGCCTCCACCGCCAGGCTCGGGGCAAGTCCCTGGGGCTGGTGCTGGAGAGCCTGGGGGCCGGGGCAAAGTGGAAGGAGGCGAGCCAGGAATTAGAGGCCTGGCTGCAGCCTTGGCCGGCGGAGAAAGGGAATCGGACGCTGGAGAAGTGGAGAACGAGCCCAAGGAGAAAAAGACGAAAAAGAGAAAAGCTGGCCGCGAGAAAGACGAGGACTATGGACAAGGGCTTCAAGAAAAAATTGCAAAGCGGAGCCCGCCTAATGTGGGAGCATCGGCCTTGCGACTGAAGCTGAAGAAGAAGAAGGCCTCAAAGAAGAAAAAGAACAAGGACAAAAAGAAGACAAGCTCCAGCAGCGAGTCCTCAGATCGATCTGACTCGCTTTTTCAACTGGCCGCCCTGCCCGCAGGCACAGAGAAGATCCACCGGCTTCACGAGGAGAGACCGGGGACTCTGGCGAATCTCACCCTCCTGAAGTTTCAGGAGATCTTGGAGAGAACCGTCGGGTTGAGCAGGGGAACGGCCGAGAACCCGCAAGAAGAGAGCCTGCCACCGGTCGCACGGGGCTACCTCACACAGATCCTGTTGACGAGGTTTCCAGAGGCAGCAGCGGGGCTGCGGAATGTCCGCGAGCTGCGCACCTTGGCGGCGATCATAGACGGCATCTGTCAAAACGACAGCATGCGGAGCCTGGACGTGGCAGTTCAACGGTTCAAGAGCATCGAACTGTTCATGTCCCAGGGCTCGTGGGAGCAAGGCAACCTTCTGGAACTGATCCCAAGCGAAGGGGAAGCGAGGTCGTACTTCCGGCCGGAACTGAAGGCAACGCAGCAGGAGCTGAAAACAGAACAGCGCCTGAGAGCGGGGCCCTGGCAGCCACGAAGGAACCAATGGGCTCCGAGATGGGAGGATCGGCAGGCGCCTCATGCCGAAGCAGTGGATCCCGGCGGAGCAGAAGCAGGCAAAGACGAGAAGCCGCCATCGAATCGTCCCGGCCAGAAGGGACGCAAAGGGAAAGGAAAAGGCAAAGGACGCAAAGGGAAATTTGCATGGTGATGGCACCTGACGATACAGAGGGAGTGCCCGGAGAAGAAATCCGAAAGGTCATGGAAAATGGAACTTTTGAAGATGAAAGAGGGCAGTGGATGAGAAGAATCCTCTATGACCTTCTAGAGCACCCCCAGGTGCGGCAGTACTATGATGAGCTACGCTGCCTGGTACAGGCGCCAACAACATGGAAAGAGGTGGAACACAGGTTCAGTGAAATCTTGGTTGAGATGATGGATGAACCAGAAGAGAAGCTTCTGGAGAGCCTTCGAAACACCTTCAAGTGTCTGACAGAAGATGATCCGAAGCCTTTGCTCAAGTTGCTGGGGGTCCCGCAGCCACCTTCGGGGCCGTCCCCGGAGGCGGTGAAGGGGCCTCTGGCGCGCGAGTATAGAGGTGTAGAGATCAGATACCGAACGGAGCTTTGGGTCGGCCAAGATGGCGGTGTGTTCGTGGGACGATCGAAACCTGGACGGCCGGGATGCGTCATCCATGAGGATTTTGGACGCCACCTGGATCGCGAACTTTTTCGAGAAGCCCTTCTGGGGAAGCCCCTGTATGTTGATGAAGGCGAGGAAGACCTTGCCGTCGAGGTGGTCCAGGACTTTAACCTGGCACGGGGACCTGAGGCCCGAAGGGTTGATTGGCAGGCAGAATGGCTCAAGACCTGGCAAAGGCTTCTTGGGCATGGGGTGTCCCTGAGTTACACCGGGGTGGCTCTGAAGTTGATGATTCGGAGTCGCCCTGGAAGCTTGGGGAACTTCTCGCGACTGTTCAAATGCTGCGCTCTGAGGAACTTTCAGGGGCACCCCGCAGAGCTGTTGCCAATGGCCCTGCCTGACGACACCGCGGAGGAGCAGCATGCCTTCGGGGCCTTGGTAAAAGCGGCAGGGGCTGCTCATGACCCCAGTGATGAAGACTGGTCCGCAGTTGAAAAGTCCTGTGAGAAAGCTGGCATTGCTGCCTGGTCATGGTTGCAGGTGCTTGGTGTGAATGCGCTGTACCTGGGCGGAGGCACTGACCGATGTCTGAGCACTCAGATGGCCCACAGCTGTGAGTGGTCTCCCGGCCAACAGGCTTTGATGTCAAGAGCCCGGGAGCTGGCTGAGATATGGCTTGAAAAAGGTGAAGGGAAGATTGAAATAGGAGAATGGGACAAAATCAGTCAGTCGCTGGACGGCATCTATACGGGACCAGAGGTGAAGAAGGCCTATCCCTTGACGGTGGAAGGTATCCTACCCACTACCCCTGCGGCAGATGAAGCAGGGCGAATTGAGCTGGCGGAAGTGGTCGCACCTGAGCTCAAGAGCTTTGTGCTGAATCCTGAACTCCTGCGCATCCCGGACGATGAGCTGATCGACCCGAGGACCTTTGCCAAAGTCCATGTTGACAGTGATGAGGAATGGAATAGAGTTGTCGCTCACCTCGTGAAGGCAGGAATGCTAGAGCGTGAGGATCCACACGAGACTCTGCGCTACAAAGATGAGGCCGTCAGGAATGGTGCTTTCGGTGTGCACAAGGGATGGCAGCAGAGGGAGGATGGGTCCCTCTTCCGGACACTTCGGCTGATAATCAACCTCATCCCCTCAAATGGTTTCCAACGAAAGACCCCTTGGCGCCCTAGCCAGAAAATGGGGTACAGTCCGCTCTGGGGACAGATGGTTGTCCTTGAGGATGAAGTGGTGATGAGCTATGGGGAGGACCAACGCCATTGTTTCCACATCTACCGCCCAGGATCGAAGTGGAGAGGCTACTTCGTCCTCAGCAAGAAGGCGGCAGGATGGGCTTTTGCAGACTCCAGCCAGGAGGCCAGCTACCCAAGAGTTAAGACCGCGCCAATGGGGTGGTCAAACGTCGTGGACTTCATTCAGAGCGGTCTGGAAATGATGGGAACTCAGGCTGGAATGAGCATCAAGCATGCGGTTAGATTGGGAGATGCCCTCCCAGCTCTTCCACTTGACACTCCAAGGACATACTACTCTTGGTATGTTGACAACTGGGACTCTTTCAAGATCGTGGCAAAGAGTGACATGGGGGAATATGAAGGAAAGCCTTCGGATGACCAGCTGAAGTTGAGAGCTGTCTTTAAACTTTGGGATGTTGGGAGAGACCCAAAGAAGGCAGCAGAAGGAACTCTGAGCTGGTCCTCCCTGGGGGCTGAAGTGGATGGCGGCCGAGGATTGGTTGGCTCGAACACAAAGTTCCGAAGAGGGATCCTCGGAGCCACCATCAACCTGCTTCAGGCGCCTTGGATCCGAACCGATTCACAAGAGCTGCAGGCACTGGTCTCAAAGCACATGCACACGGTCCAATTCTGCCGCCCGCTGGCTAGCGCCTTCGATCATTTGTATCGGGAGGTGGCGAACCCAGGGGGTGGTAGGAACTTGAATGACTTGGCCCGTGATGAACTGTTGCTGCTGAGCAGTTTGCTGCCGCAACATTGGATCAACCAACGACATACGCCTTCGGGAACAGTGTTTGCCACTGATGCTTCAGAAGAAGGAGGAGGAGCGTGCCAAAGCACGGGTCTCAGCGAATGGGGCCATCAACGTTGCCATGGCCTGAGTTATGCCGAAAATGGACTGGAGGGATCCGCGGCTGATGACCTCTTGGTGGTTGAAATGTTTGCTGGCATGGGAGGGCTGAAACAAGCCCTCGAACTGATTGGTATGGTTCCTCAGGGGATTATCAGTATCGATAATGACCCCACCAGCAAAAAGCTTTCGAGAGCCCACTGCAGGCACGGGATTTTGTATGATGATGTCAAGACCATCACCAAAGAAATGGTGGTTGAATGGAGGAGACAGTTTCCACGAGCCCGCCAGATCCTGTTGGCAGGGGGATGGCCGTGTATTCATCACTCCTCCCTGAATGCCAATCGGCAGGGAGCAGCTGGCGCTACGAGTCAACTGTTGGATGAGATGATGAAGATCCGGAGCTGGATAAAAGAGGCATCAGCAGCCCATGGATTGCCCTCATGGGACTTATTGGAGTTCTATGAGAACGTGGTGATGGACAAGAGCGACCTTGAAGTCCAGAGTGAGAAGATTGGATGGCTGCCAATGCATGTTGAGGCGGCGGATGTGGGAAGATGCCGTCGACCTAGACTCTACTGGGTGAAAGGCATTCAAATGATCAATGGAAGCGACCTCAAAGTCGAGCAGCAGGCAAAGATCCGTGATCTTGAGATTGCCCTTGATAAGGGAGTGATCAAAACGGAGATCCCTCCGCTGGACTGGTTCCTCAACAAGGGGGCCAAGAAGCTGAGCCAGGAGAACGAGCCATTCTACACGTTTACCCGGCCAATCATGCGGAAGGAGCCGCCACCTTCCCCGGCAGGTCTCGAGCGGGCATCGCCGAAGGCGCTCCAACGATGGCGGGGAGACAGCTTCAGGCTGCCCCCGTACGCCTACGAGAATGCCAACCTGGTGACTGACAAGAGTGGGCCCAGGCGATTGCTGCCCGATGAGCAGCTGAGGATGATGGGCTACACCAGCTCACATCTGACCTTGAAGTCAAAGCTCACCAACGACCAAAAAGGCCATTTGATTGGGAACTCCTTCAGTGCCATTGTTGTGGCCAGACTCCTGACCGGGCTGGCGCTGGATGACGATCAGGGCAAGGACGTAGATCTGACAAAGGCCATCTGGGAAAGTTGGCGTTCCCTCGAGGACCAAGTTGGCCGGGAACAGCAGCCGTGGCGGACACGCTTCGGGCAAGGGCCTCGGGCGGGCCAGGGGGTGGTGGCCATGCGCCGTCGTGTGCTGCCACCCGCCGATCTTCCGCTCAAGGCCAAATTGGACCCACAGAACCGCCTCACCGACGAAGAGTTGCTGGCCTACATGCTGACGCGGCAGGCGGTCCAAAAGGGCTGTGACATCCGGGTGGACCTCAACCAGCCATTCTCCTATGGCACTATGTGCCGACACTCCATCGACCCAGGAAATTGGCGATGGAAAGTCCTCCTCTCCTATCAGTGGAAGAAAGGGGGCCAACATATCAATGTGTTGGAGGCCACCGCCATCCTTGACTTGGCACGAAAATTGGCCCGTGAACCAAAGCACCATGGAATGAGATCGATCCTTTTGGTCGACAACATTGTTTCACTCTCGGTCATTGCAAAGGGCCGTAGTTCTGCTCGCTCTCTTCAAGCTCCACTTCGACGATTGACAGTGGTCTTGTTGGCCGCGGACCTCCGGTTCTACTTGGGCTGGGTCAAAAGCAGCTGGAATCCAGCGGATGGACCTAGCCGTTGGAAGGCAAAGCTTTGACCATGCCTCGGGCACAACTCGTGCAACGAAAGTCGAAGGGAGAGCGAAAAAGAGAGCGCAAAGAACTTGGGACACTTCAGCAACTCGTGGTGCAAAAGAGTACTTTCACCCGTTATTTAACGGCAGTTTCACGGTTTCTTGATTTTTTAAAAATGCAAGGATACCCTTACCCTTCTGGTTTTGCTAAATTGGACCTCAAAGTCTGTGAATTCATTGAAACTCTTTGGCAAGAAGGGGAACCAAAAGCATATGCCTCGGACACAATTAGTGGCTTGGGACATTTCATACCCTCCTGTAAACGGTTCCTGGTAGGAAGCTGGCGTCTGCATGGGTCCTGGAGCCGTGCTGAGTTACCGGATCGTGCTTTGCCCTTTACTCCACTGATGGCCTATGGACTTGCTCAAATGGCTTTTAATAAAGGTTGGAAGGATCTTTGCATGGTGATCCTACTGGGCTTTACCATGTTTGCCCGAACGGGAGAGCTTTTTCAGGCAAAAGCAGGTGACTTTGTTTTTGACCACCGACTGCGAAAGGGTGTCTGGTCTCTTCCACTGACCAAATCGGGGCAACGGGCAGGGGTCCGGGAATCCTTGACAATCGAAGACCAATGGCTGTTAGTGGCACTCAAGAACTACTGCAAGTCCCTTCACCCAGGAGATACGTTGCGGAAAGCCTCGCCCCAACTGATGCGGAATCGTTTCAAAGAATTACTACAGGAAGCTAACCTTCCCCCAGGCTTTGCCTTTTATTCCCTACGCCGCGGCGGGGCGACCCATGCCTATAGGCAATCTAATAATCTCTCCTGGGTCTGCCTTGTTGGCAGATGGGGCCATGAGAAAACAGCCCGAATTTACATCACTGATGCCTTGGCACAGCTGACAGACATTGGTCTCTCCCGCCCTGCTCGTCAAAAACTTTTGCGCCTGGCTCAACAAGCTCGTCCAGGATATCAGTTTGATAATTAAACCCCTCCCCCCACTCCGCATTCTGGCACAGCCACTTCACCTGACCAGCCAGACTTGAACCGGCTACCCACATTTCACAGTTCCTGTAGCTGGGGTCGGGTGGACACCGGTGTCTGGGAGGTTGTAAGGATGCAGAGGCATAGGGTATTGACCCTTGCGGGGGGGCCTCCCGGGTGGCTGGGTGTTTCCTGCATGGTTCACTCAGGGTGGTGTTCTCATGTGACTTTCTGGGAACTGGGTCAGGGGGTGGTCATCTTTATGATGCCTTGTCCTGGTTTTCCTTTCCTGTCACGTGGGTCCTGCCGTCACATGAGATGTCTTGAACAAATCCCCTCAGCGCAGCTGAAAAATGGGAGCGGAAACCTTGAGCACTAACCCTTTGGCTTCCTTGGATAGTGTGAAAGGTGTCACTCGCTCCGCAGTCTGGCTTCTATGTGGCCCACCTACCACCCCTTTCTCCACCAAGGGTTGGGACACCGGTGTCTGGGAGGTTGTAAGGATGCAGAGGCATAGGGTATTGACCCTTGCGGGGGGGCCTCCCGGGTGGCTGGGTGTTTCCTGCATGGTTCACTCAGGGTGGTGTTCTCATGTGACTTTCTGGGAACTGGGTCAGGGGGTGGTCATCTTTATGATGCCTTGTCCTGGTTTTCCTTTCCTGTCACGTGGGTCCTGCCGTCACATGAGATGTCTTGAACAAATCCCCTCAGCGCAGCTGAAAAATGGGAGCGGAAACCTTGAGCACTATATATTATTACCATATACATATACACTATATTTATATTAGTGGTAATAACTCTAAAATTCATATGCCAACCTCACTAGCCACAAAAACCAACCAGATATCGGCCAGGCCTGGAGATCCCTCCCGTCCTGGCTGGTGCACTGGCGACCTACAAAGAAGCCCTGACTCGGGGCCTGGCGGATGAGCATAAAGGAGCGGGGAGCGCCCGTGTCGCGTGTCCAGTGGGGAGGGTTGGGAATGGAGTTTTCCATCCCCATTTTTGGGGATTTTTGACCATCAAACCATGGGGATTTTTGACGTCTCAAAACGGGAATTTGTCCATCGCAAGACTTTTGATTTAACATGATTTAGCCAAGAAACATGGGCATTGAAGTAACAAAAATGGTGAACCAACACAAGAAGGGAATTGATCAGCAAAGCAAGGGGATGCAACCAAGCAAACGTGATTAACATGGGTAAATTCACGGGCAAGAATGGGGTTTAGCTTAAATTTTAACAGCAGCACGTGTGGTTCTGAATAAACAAGATGGGGATTTAGTGGGCGAAAATGGAGATTGGAACCAAAAAAAGTGGAATCTGAAGAACATAAATTCTATTTTGAATGATGGGGTAATCCGTTTGAACCACATCCCCTGAAGAACAAACACCTGGCTGAATGCCGCCCAGGAGCGATGGTAAAGGTGTGGGAGCGCAAGATGGACGTGACCTGCTCTGCAGCAAAGTCTTGAGAGTGAGACACTGCCCGAAGCCGCAGGTCGTAAGGCGTTGCCGAAAATGCCCACGCAAAGGGACGAGGTATTGGCCGAACAGCCTTTGGTCAGTGATATGTACCCGATAAGAAACCATCCCCAAGGCAGGTCTATGATTGGGCTTACATTTTCAGACTTGGGGCTGCCCCCATTGCCAAGTGGAAACCTCAGTGGGCGTAGCTTGCACCCAGCCCCAGTTCAGGTCAATAGCCCCACAGTAGCACATAGTAGCACTACATCACTACCATTTCGGTAGCTGACCTTACAAGAATGCACGGAACAAAATGTCGGGTTCATTTTCTATTGAAGGGAAATGTCATTTGATTTGATTGGTAGTTTCCTTGTTCGATGTGTCATTGCACGTGTGAAGTTTGACTGGCATGCCCTTCTTGGCTTTAAGCTGCAAAATGTTCTAGGACTCTAGGACAGTCCTGCCCTGCATTGCTAGCCCTTGCCGGCGTTGGTGCAAAACGTGCACTTGACCGACTCTCTGCAGCCGCACATGTTTCTGGTGCCAACATTACCGTTTTTGGACCTCAGGTCCAACGACACCTCTCCTGATGCACTATTCTCTGTGACTCCGTTTCCAGAATTTAAGTTCAGACCCGGACGAGAGACTTCGAACTCATGGCCGAGGTTCATATTCAAGTCCAAGAGCGAAAGTTTGCACGCAATAAATAATTACAAAAGTGCCGCTGATGGCTTGTCAACTTGGTCAAACCGACACAGATGACACAGCATTCGTGAGGGCGCGAGCCAGTGGACTCAGTGGATCGAAGCCGCCGAAGAATCCTCGAGCAGGAAACAGATCAAAAATAAAGGACCATGCGTCGTTCTCTGAGATCGACCACCTCATTTCATTGCCAAGGACATCACAGGCGGTGAAGCTGCGGCTGCACGTTCACAATTTCGTCAACTTCTCGATGGTCCTACTGGTATGTTTAATGGACAGGCGGTCCTTTTCATTGGCACAACAAATCAGTTCGCCAAGCTAGAACCAGACATGGTCTCCGGGGCTCAAGTTTTGCAATTTCAACTTCCAATTGAAGCAGCGGCAAGCGCGGACATTGAACGGCATGCAACGCATTTGTCGAAAGACCAGCAATGAGCTTGCAAGAAGGAAAACCACTTGCTCCTCCTTTTGATTGGTATTTATCTTCCATGAGCGAAGACAAAATTACTCTCTACTCCAGACCAGCTCCTCGTACCACCAGGACGGGAATGGAGCAACTCCCTGAGTGGTGCAAGCTTGGCTGGGGGTCTTGCTCTGCTTGTGGCTACCAAGAGTAGAAATCACCACCACATCAGATGGTGAGCGCAGTGGTGATGTCCACGGCTCACGGCTTGAGGTAAAATCCACGAGCATCGGGTGGGAAGCAATGCCTGGAAGGGTATTAGATTCTGGATTTAGGCTTCAGCTTTGGGCTTAGGCGCCTCAGTTGACAGTTTGGGTTCATGCAGTGCCTTGTGCCTTGATTTAAGCCTTTTGTTTGGCTGCCAGCTAGTATAATGTCCAGTTCCAACTGTTTCTTACTAGGCAGGTGCAGTCATGCGGTAGATCATAGTCCTCACCAATTTGCCAATTTTCCTATGGTCTATTGTCATCCCACACTGGTACAGTCTTTGGGCCAATGGCTTCATCACTTCGCTTAGCTCGTGGTGCTCCAGGAGCTGTGTTAAAAGTCGCGTCATCAATGGACTTTCGGCCGCTGGGGTGACGGATGCCGATGTGAGATGATTTGAATATGATTTTCATTGGGGTTTTGGGTATGATGAGGCCTAGATTTGGGATGATTTGAGGGTGCTTTTCGGATGGATCAGTGGATGATTTGGGATGGGGTCCTACAAGGCTCCGGACGCTGGAGGGCTCACCAGTTCCATCGAAGGCTGGCAGGCGAGAGCCAAGCTTTGCCAGAAGATTTGTCCGAACATTGTCCTTCCAAGATTTAGATATTAGATGTGATATGTAATTACGCGCAATTACCGCAATTTTTTGGACATGGGGCTATAGCGCAAATTTTCATCGCCAAGGGATCATAGATTTTTGATGATTTTTGACATTTTCGGTGTGTTTGGTTTTTCCATGTGAAACAATGAGTTTTTTGGGTACGGAATCCAGATGCGTAGTGCCACCCCTGGATGAATAAATCCTCGTCTCGTTCCACCTGCAAATTGGGGAGCAAACCATTTTCAGAGTGCTGCTTCCCCTCACTGCCATGTCTTGGCCGTCAGACTTTTTCCTCTCTGGTGGCTTTCACCTGCCATTGTCCAATGCCACCCTTCGGCCCATGATAATCCCATAGTCGTAGCAAATAGGTTTTGGGTCCAACTCACTATGCGTTTTGCCATGTGGTTTGGCCAGTCAGGATATGCTGAAAGGCGCTCTGGTAGAGTTGCCGAAGCTGGTCTTCGAAGGCTGGCGCAAACAATAATCTTCTAAAATGATTGATCCTCGGCTTCCAGATTAAAGGGCACCCTCCCTGTGATCTCGTTCTACATGGTTCGAATTCTTGCAATGAAACCCGAGACCATGCATGGAACGGTCAGAACAGCAGCTTGGTGTTTGGAAGTGGGGGACACGGATATCCCAATCACTGGTTCCCTTGACTGGCATAGATAGACAACGTTTGCTAGGGTCCCAAATTCAGGACGTGCCTTGACAACCACCTTCGGAAAACCAAGGATTTGCCAACAGAAGTGTTCGTTCTTCAAGTTTAAGAAGGAGATTTCTCGAGTGCTCGAGCGTTTCAACAGCAACCTTGTCGAAGCCTCTTGTAATTCCACCTGGCCCAGTTTCAATATGTTTCAATCGCCTACCGGTGGATTGGGATGCTGATGATATTGATGATGCTGGTTATATAAAGGAGTCTCCTCAGACTCTTTGGAAAGTAGCCATGGTCGTGTTCAGCGTGTTGATTGGTGAAATGAAAAGAACTGCTTTTCTTGAGCTTATTGCACGAATCCCGCTACATTTGGATGGCACATGTTTTTTTTGGGCATTGTTTCTGTATAGAATTGATCTGGCTTACTGAAAGCTTGCCATTCCAACCTTGATGGAAGAGTAGCCGAGTAGCCAACGTTTGATGGCGTCGAGATGACGCTGGAAGGAGAGTGAGAACGAAAACGCGCCGACAACGGGCAACCTGGAAGCAAAGCAGACAACGGGGTGGGGGTGTCAAACAGCACGGATGATAATCCCCAATGACTAAGAAACAGCCCATACACGCCCTGAACTTGACCAGGTGGGGACAGATCTCCATAAACACCTCCATGGACCATGCAGGGATGTGGTGGAATTTCATCATTTTGGGGTCTCACAATCCACTTGTGCCAGGAAGGTTGATGATAGAATCTGCTGAGGAATCGACACTGTGGTTTCATCCAATTTCGGGGAAGCCTTGGTTTGGTCTTGGTAGCTTATGGTAGCTTTAAGGGTGTTACTATCAGTTGTAGCCGTAACAATGGAAGCGTATTCTGAGGAAATTGGTGGATGTTTCAGACGCCGGCCAGAAGTTGTGCGAAGAGACCTCAGGGGTCTGGCTTTTTGCTGTCAACAATTAAGATGGATGGGTACACATTTTCATTCTACATTTCCCCTTTGTACATGTAAACGTCCACACGCACATACACACACATACATACACATCACATATATATATATATACAATCACATACTATATATATATATACATACACATCTGTATATTGTATATGTACATGTGCACATATGTATACACATGTATACTGTATCAGTGTGACAACATAAAATCTAAGTAAGCATACATATGAACAACTAAGACTAAAAAGTGCGCATAACAATACATGCACAGTAAATGATAGTATACATGCACGTTTTATGTTGGATGACAAATCGCATCCTAAACCGCAACTGAGGTCGGACGGCTGTACCAGAGGTGCCGGGCTTAGCTCAGATGGGGGAAGGTTTCTGGACTAAACCAACAAACAATGCATTGGTTTAATTTAAGGCAGCATCTTAACCGGAAACCATGAATTTTCCCATGAACATTTCCCTTGAACCAATCCAATGAAGGAAAGATAGGTCAACATTCCCTCCAACTTTTAATAGGTCGGTCGAGTCAACAAAATCGACGATGGGGGAAAGATGGGGGACATATTTTGTTGATTCAAGATAAGTCAGGAATTTTGCCTCAGGTGTTGGTTCTTCTGGAATCGAGATGTGGGATGGGCCTTGTCCCCTGCGAGGAGGCTGGGTCTTCGTTGGTTCCCAACGTTGCGCTGGCTGTTTGCCCGAGCCTGGCAGGCCAGCGTGTACGAGAACGTGGTCAACGGCCTGGGTAACGAATCCTTCTTTTGCTCGCACCGCACAGGCGGTGGCAACGGCAGTTGTTACGTGGTGAATTGAAGTGCTGTCAGGGGAACCTGAAAGCCACATGGAAAACAGATTGAACAAATGATCGAATTTCGTGGAATTTCCTCTTGTCAGCTGCTTGGATGTGGACTTTCCGCTCCCTGGCCCCGGCGATGGGCTGTAGTGACTGAAACTCTCAGGGTCTCAAGCATGAGCCAGCTGCAAAAGAATCTATATATATATATATAATCAAATAAAATCAATTAGTTTTTTTGTCCCTCTCCTTCGTCAACGCATTACAAAACGATGTGTTGCCGTGGATCATCACTTGGTCTTTTTGAACATCCCATGGCAGGTGCTTGCCAGATCAGCGGCACAGTGGTCTTGGTCGACTTCGCGGCCTCGTTCCAACGTGGCGGCGGTGGAAGATGAGGAAAAACACGGCCATTTTCAAAGGGCAAGCAGATGGCCATGGACAAGAGATGCTGGAGAAGGAATTCAACGTTGCCCTGGGTAGCGCTGTTGGGCAGCATTTGCCTTTGAGCTGCCCATGGCGGGTTGGGATTCTCCAGGTGCAGATGAGAAGCGCTCAACCAACGAGAAGTTCTATGACATGCTCCCAGGCAAGGCTGCTGGAACTCAGAGGTGACCCAAGTTGTGGCTGGGAACATCTGCAGATCAACATGGCTGCACACCTCTGCAAGCTGCAAAGATCAGATTTATGTTTGGAAGACCTCATGGTATGTTCATCGAAGCCAAAGTGTTTCGCGCGTGGCTTGTTTCACCATTGCCTACACGGATGACCCTGAAATTACTTGCTGTTCGAAGCCGCAAATTTGCAGATGTGGCTGGTTCGTGCAGTCAAGATTTTGTTTCCCCGTTTTCTGTTTAGCACCAGAGATGATATCTAATTGGCTCAATTTTATTCAAGCGGGTTGACAACTTAGAACCTTTCAAACAGCCCCCCAGTAGACAGCATATCATCATATTCCAGACTATTCAGGTGGAAAAGCACGATCTGCTTGAGTTTCTGGATGAAAGGCAAACCTACACGAAAGCCTTACATGTGCGGATGAAGGGCATTTTAAAACCCATGGGTTTTTAACACTCATGGAAAATTCAGCCGATTTCCCCGGGGGAATCCATTCCGATGCCGGGAAGGTGCCTTTGAAACAAGCCATTTCAGAGCCTGCCAGGTGCCGAAGTTGCGTCCATTCAGTGCTGATTTGGAGTATTTCCTAGTTTTCGTGGGGTGATGCCAGTTGACTGAAGCCACCAGTCTTGCGGTTGGAAGTATCACGTCACTATGTTCAAACCCCCCTTCCAACGGATCAGGTAGAGGTTCATTAGTCATCCAAAGGGGTTTCCATCCTAAGTGGCCTTGTTCCTTTGTGGTTTGCGGCTTTCTCGCCTGCTTTTTGAGTGGAGAGATGTAGTCGATATTGTCACTCTTTGGAAGATTGTGGGCTGACTGGATGTCACAATGGATGCTGGCCCGAGAGTCTGTACTTTGTCATGGCAACGGAAATACATGGAAATACAAGAGCCACCGACATCCACGCAGAAGCTTCTTTAGCCAGAAAATGAGGATCATGAGCTGAGCGCCAACCATACCCCAAACAACACATTTTCTTTGACATCTGGAAGATCAAGTTTCATGAAGCGCAGCAGCTTCAACATGCCATTTTTTCACTACATCTTCCAGCCAAAATCCGCCCAGTTATCATCGTTCAGCATGGAAGGGGTCGAGCTGGTCTCGCGTGTGCTGTTGGTGGCTGGGATGAGTGCCCTGCTGCCCAACTTGAAAGGCCTGGGGTGGACAAGTGCCACAGAAAGAAGGCATGAAACCAAGCATTTCACGGGATATGTCCTTGTAATATGTCTAATACATACAAACACATGGATATTTATGTGTGTGTATATATATATGTAAGTGTAAGTGTATGTAATTATATTATATCATATAGCACTCCCCCAAAAGATAGAAATGTAAAACCCTATGTCGAAATAGTAGTAACTCATAGCAATTCACCTTGTCTATCTATTTTTCATTGGATTGGTTTATATAATGGATTTTATGGAACATTTCCAGGAAACCTCCATATTTCATAGGAACAACCCTGGTTTCCGGTGACGATTTTCCCACCAATCCAGTGACCTAGCGCAGGTGGCAGCCTCACGAAGCCTTTCTTCGACTCCCAGGCCTGTCATGATGCCATTGCCTCGGGCGCCAGCTGTCAAGTCTGTGAGACCAAGTTCAAGCTCTGCAGAGGCTGCTGGGGAGCTGGGGGTTGGGCTTGGATCTGATGACCTGTGTCAACTGAAGCACGGTTGGATGCAGAAACGAAATGCTGGGAAAAAAATGGTAAAACAGGGAAACTAGGACAGGACAGGTTGGAGGTTAGGTGGGAGGCTGTTATGTTTTTGTTCAATCTTGTAATCTGAAATGTTTGACTGTTTCTTTTTGATTATCCTGCTAAATGTATTGTTGAGGTTGCTGTACTAATGCTTGGGTGCTATGATTTTATGTTGGTGTTCATGTTCGTTGGTTTTGATGTTTTTTCCTGTGGGGGTTCTGGGGATTAGTTCACTTCATTGTTTGGATTGAATGAAGGGGATAATTGTTGAGGCGGTCAGAGTTTCTATGTGTAGGTTCAGGTTCAAACTCTACCAAGCTGTTGTTCAAAGATGTCGAATGATTTGCTTCAAATTCATGTATTGATTGAGGTTAGGCGCTGTGGTTCCTGTTTGGTTTTGCATATCGAGCATCCTTCAATACCAAAGCCAGTTTGGCACAAATTGACTGAACCGATGTATTGTCCCTTTCCTTCGACATTCCGCAGATGCATCTTTGTGAGGCAGGTTGAGCTTGCGCCAGGCCGGTTCGTCCTTCCAAGTGGTCATGCACGAACACAGCCCGCAAGGGCTTTTCCGGCGCAGACCGTTAAAACTGGTTGGACTTTGTTGAGCACAGGGAGCGTCGTAGTGCTGGTTCTCCAAGCTCTCAACCAAAGGTTCCTTCCTGGCTTCTTCATGAACAGGGCAGTGAGGAAGGCTGGGCAAAGGCTGGAAAGGACAGAGCCCGCCCCTGCACGGCCGGTCGAGGAGGAATACATCAAGGACTTCATCAATTCACCTCAACGTAAAGCTTTGAGCACCCCCTTCCTTCTTGGTGTTCAGTGGTTCCCAAGGCATTGGGAAATCAACCATGCTGAACAATCTCATGTGTGAGCATGTGAAGAATGGCAAAAGGGTGCTTCCTCTTGAAATTTCTGTTCGTCCTGGTGAGGACTTGAAGCTGAACAAGGCGCTACCCCAAGCCTTACAAGCCGTAGATTTGCCCCGATATTACCCGTCAAATGTCAAATTTTTGTTGGAACGGGTGAACGAGACGTGCAAGCGCCGAACAGGCAGTGCCGTCGTGGTATACCTGCAACTCACAACCAAAAGCCGCGGAGACAAATTTAGTAGGGATGCCGGGATGCCTGTGATGACATTGCTTCCACCCTCGGTGCCTTCGCTCGCAACATCACCTACGACAATGCCGCGTGCAAGTGCATTTTGGAGGTCAGCGTGTCTGCAGTGGCAGACATCATCAAAGAAAGGTTTGACATGTCAAGGCTGGTGCTGGTGCGACCACTACCTTTCGAAGACTTCACGTCTGTGGTCAAGGAGGTGGCGAAGCAGGGAAACGACTTCCGGACGCTGAACAAGGTTCTTGCCGAAGATGACATGGACGAGGTGTTGAAGCACTACTACATCCGCGTGGGGGGCAACTTGCGCGCCTTGGGCGGGATACTGGAAAACGTCTCCAGAGCAGGTCAGAAAGGTGCGGATGCGGTCATCGAGCAGGTTGAGCAGTGGTACAAGGAGAGGGTGGAACCAATTGAAAAGAAATTGGATGACCAGGAAGTGAAGGACTATCTCCTCAAGGTGGCAGAGGCAGGACCCATGGGGTATCTCCCAAACAGCAAGCAGACGACCCAAATGAAGTTGAAGCTTCTTCGTGAGGAGCCAGCAGACTGCGTCCTGAGGAGAACAACCAATTTAAGTGTGGCTTTGAAGCATTGGCATTTCGTCGCCAAGCTCTTTCAAGAGGATGAGCAGAAGTTGAGGGATGCAGGATACATGTGAGCTTCGCCGGTGAAAAAAACTGACGCTTGAGATGTTTTGTGGGTGAGTCATCCAAGAGTAATTTTCACATATTGCATGCATAACCGCAGATACCCAACCCTAGTATCAATGATACCCAGATACCAGTATCCAAGTATCAACGATACCCAGAACCGAGTATCAATGATACCCCAAACCAAATATCAGTGATACCCTGATACCAGTATCCAAGTATCAATGATACCCAGAACCGAGCACCAACGATGCCCAGAACCAAGTATCAATGATACCCTGATACCAGTATCCAAGTATCAACGAACCCAGAACCGAGTATCAATGATACCGTGATACCAGTATCCAAGTATCAACGATACCCAGAACCGAGTATCAATCATTCACCGAACAAGCAACAACAGACAAATCGTTTCACCCTGAACTTTTTTAGCCGGACCATCAAACACGGACAAATCGTTTCACCCTCAACTTTTGACAAAAGCATGAAACACGGACAAATCGTTTCACCCTCAACTTTTATAGCTAAACCATCAAGCACGGACAAATCGTTTCACCCTGAACTTTTGAAGACAAAAAAAATCCTTACTTCAACAAGTGTCCTAAAACCATCGTTCTAGCGTTCAAAAAACATCAATTTAGGACACTTGTTAAAAACACATTTTTAGAGCAACAGACCCAAAAACACTTAAAGAAATGACGCCTTATAGAATCAAGAGTTGAATATGCCCTGCTATATGTATATTAACGGTATGAAGCAAGAAATGGACGAAGACCTTTTTTACCAAATGGCGGAAACACTACACCAATCCAGCAACCCTCAAAATCCACCAGCCACAAATCCACAAGATGGAAACCCGACGGAACTTACGACAAGAAACCACTAGACCCCAATTATTTTTCAAAGTATTATCAAAAGAAATCATCAACCCCTTTCACCTGTCCAGACTGCGGACGAACCATCACAAGCAAATCCAATCTATCAAAACACCGTCAAACCAACAGATGTATGAACAGCAGACGACACTAAAATAAAACCTTCTCATTATATAACAACGCTTTGTTAATCAGAATGTTTTATCTATTCATTGTCCATTTCCGTTTGTTTGACACAGTTGTTCTTTTGATGCCATAGAGCATGGTATTGAAAACAATAACGCTTACAAAACGGACATTCAACCTTCAAAAGGCGTTGTTATATTATTTTCTCTTCATTCAAACGGCGTTTTTCTATTATTTCCTCTTTATGTTTGTGATAGTATGCTCTGGCACGTGCCTTGCCTCTTTCATAGTATTCTCTCGCTTGCTCTGGATTGTCCAGTTTCCACTCCTGTTGCGTCCTACCTGCAATCTGTCTATTGACACATTCTGTTGCTTCGATATGTCCCCCTTCTCTTTTGAACAATTCTTCCTTACTTTGACACGGGTAGTTCTCAATCAGTTCAATCGTACAATTCTCAATACCGAATTCATTGAATATATCTATTGCGGTTGTCTTCTTTTTCATCCTCCCTTTGATGTATTCCTTATATTGTTTTCTATGTCTTTCCATTCTTTTGCTCAAACTTTGACAGGTGCTCCCAATACAGCATTTATTATATCCAACATCTGTAATTTTGCAAATCTTTCCGTTTTCATACCTATTCATACCTAGCCTATATTTACCATAAGTTGCCATTTCTTTAAAACAATTTATCAAGTCAAACGACGGTGTCCTCACGTTGGACTTCAACCCAGAACCCAATGACCTAAAAACTGAACGAGAGCCCAAAAACTACTTAAAGAAATGATGTTTTATATATTAAGGAGAATATGGGAGAGGGTGTAAGGTTAAATGAAATTTTATCTCAAAACTGAATCCACCAACAATCCAATCATCCGCAACATCCTCAACAAACAATTCACACTGAAAAACTACTTAAAGAAACAGAAGATTATAATAATATAGACTATACTATAATGGACACTTCACAGCAGATTGTTTTAGATTATCTTTTGTCATCCAAAAAGGGTGAGATATTGAAACGGAATGGAGAAGAACTCAAGAAACTCAAGATTGGAGACAAGACCTACAACTTTGAAAGGGGGAAACCCATTTCAAAGAGGTTGATAACAAAATTCAACAAGATTAGGCAGACAATGGACTACAAAAAGTATGAACTGAAAGAGAAGAGAGGCATTAGATGGGTCAATCTGGACAAGAACAAAGCACTCACAGGCATTCAAATGAGATACAAAGCAACCACCACCAACGAACAATCTGCTTTCAAAGGTTATGTCAATTCGTATGCCATCACTAACATCAGGGTTAGAGGCATAAAGGCACTACAGTATCTCAAATACCAAGATTTGAGGTTAAAAGAGTATTTGAGGAAACATAATGGAATGAAGGTTATGCTACAGGTCTTCGCCACTTTGAAGAGTAAAAAGACTAATGAAGATGTAAGACAAGTCATCAAGAGTAGAAGATACAACATCACCAACGAGGGTGAAATACCCAATGTTCTTATATAATCAGATGGCAAGTGATGTAGAGCACCAAGCGGAGGTGATGGAAGTGTCGGAGAGTGGATTAGTCATAACCCAGATTGATAAACTGAAGTTCAACTATGACAAATACAATCCAACTCGTGGGGGTAAGTTCATTCCATTACCTAAATGGGTTTCAAACAAAAAAGCCTGTATCAACATCAAAAATCAAGATGAAAAGTGCTTCAAATATTCCGTTCAATGTGGTATATGTAAGGTTTATGAAAAAGACCACCCCGAAAGGGTGTCTCACTACAAAAACCTCAATGATGAACTAAACTGGGATAATGTGAATTTTCCTTCGTCAGATGTTGACATGCATATATAGATACATTTGAAGAAAACAACGGAGGAAAAATAGCGGTGAATGTTTATTTTCTTGACCCCGAAGAAGGGAAGCAGTCCACCCTACTTTACAGACAGTCTAGAGTATCAAAAGCAACTCATCAAGTCAGTCTTCTAAAACTGGAGGATGGGGATGACTACCATTATGTATTCATCAAAGATTATGATAAAATAATAGGAAGTCAAACCAACAAAATGAAAGCAAAGAAACATCACTGTTTTCACTACCAACACGGCTTTTTAACAAAAGAACTTCTTGATGAACACGTTGAAAAGGGATGTATGGCAGTTGAAGGGCAACAGATACAAATGCCCAAAGAAGACGACATTATGGTTTTCAAAAATCACTATAAAAAAGTTGAAAGCACCTTTTGTCATCTATGCTGACTTTGAATGTTTGACCACAAGGACGGGGACAGTTTCCACCAAAGAAGTTAAGACGGATAAATATCAACATCACAGACCCTGCGGTTTTATGATAAATGTTGTCAATTCAATTGACGGCTCATCACGCCCATTCCTCTACAGAGGGGAGGATTGTATGGATGTTTTTATCCAAAAGATTATTGAAGTAAAAAATGATATTATGGAAAAAATGAAGGAAAACAAGGAAATCATTATGAGGGCAGATGACTGGAGGGACTTTAAAACCACAAAGAAATGCTTTATATGCGGTAAAGACTTCAAAGAAGGTGATAAAAAGGTTAGAGACCATTGTCATTTTACAGGTAAGTATAGGTGTTGTGCCCACGATGACTGTAATTTACAGTTTTCAATGAGATATTATAAAATTCCCGTTTTCCTTCATAGCATCAAGAACTATGACAGTCATTGTCCCAGTTCCCCTGTTTTACAATTTTTTTCTGGGACTATATGGGACACAAATAATATGGGCATGAAATGATTGGGATTTCATGGAGAACAGAGCTATAAACCTCTTAGCTCAGACATTTTCAATTGCGACGTTTGATTTACCGGAGGGTATCTTCCAGTAATTTGTGCCATGGCGCATAGGAAGCTCGATGATTTACCGAACTGATTTGAACATGGTGATTTTCCATAGCAAACTGGTAAATTTCCCGAGAGGGTGTATATATATACATATTTATATACACATACATATACGCACATACGGGTATTTATTGATATAATGAGGGGATATACTTGGATGAACACGATGGGCTCACATTCCTCGGGATTGAAACCGCTAGCTTTGAATCCTCCAACTATCTCTAACTGGGATGACGACATCCAACTGGGTAAGATGCCTCGCGGTTGTTTTCTTTTGACAGTGCTAAACTTCTCCAATGTTTTGCCGCATTTTTCCATCAGTTTTAAAACAATCTTTGCCAGCACAACATTTTCCATCTACATTTTTTTTGGAGAATCTTTTTCTTCGCATTTTTTTTCCATATTCTTTTTTCTAAATCCACGTGCAGGACACTACCTGTATGAACCCTTCACCGTGGTCTTCTTTGAGGCTATGGCCACGGTGGTATTTGGGATCCTGGCCGCGCTGTGTCTGGGCGGTAGAAAAACCTACCATGACTGGGGATGGTTGAGAGCACCCATAAAAATGGTGATGTAGGGGGTTGGTTTATTGTTGGGTCTACCACATGATTCCACATGATAGAATTCATTTACTGTTCTTTTAATTGACTTATATATTGATTTTTATCTAATGTTTTGTATTGGTTTGTTTAAATACTTGTTCAAGATGGTCACCTATGTATGTTTAAAATATTTATATGACCCGTATGCATAGATAGGCACATAGGGTATCCTGTGGCTGAAAAAGCATCCAAGACTAGCCACGTCTAGTGGATCGATTTTGGCCATGGGAATCGATGGCCGAAGACTCAAAAAATGGGGGGATTTCAGGGGATGAGCATCTCCATCCCTAACATATCAAGGACGATACCCTCTGGTTATGACTAACATAGCTATTGAATATGGCCATAGAAATAGTGGATTTTCCCATTAAAAATGGTGATTTTCCATAGCTATGTTAAATTACCAGAGGGTAATCTCAAAATAATTGTCATACTTTTTCTTTAAAGGCGCGGGAGCCACAAGCAATCAGGTGCGTTCTGGGAACCAAGCGTTCCCTGCAACTTCTCTTCAACTGGAGATCTATCCGTCGCGTGCTACCTGTGGGTGCTACCTATGCCATAGGAGACCTAATGGACCTGGCAGCTGCGCGAAATGTCTCCGGCACCACGCTGCTGGTGGCGGCACAGTTGCGCCTGCCTCTGTGCGCACTGCTGCGTTGGATTCTGCTTGGAAGGGGGCAGACAGCCCTGCAGTGGCTGATGCTGCCGGTCATTTCCCTACTTTGCGTCGGACATGTGGTGCACGACCTTGGTGATAGCGTTGCAGCTGGAACGGTTGGCAATGAAGGGTCGTGGATTGCAGCATCGCCTGATCAACTCCTGGTGGCTCTGCCCCTGATCTTAGGAAAGAGCCTCATCAGCTGTGGTGGGGCGGTGCATGCAGAATACTTTTTGCAAAGTGACGCTCAGGAAGTTCCGTTGAGCGTGACTCAGGTGCATTTCAAGTCTGCCACGATGCTGGGTGCGCTGATTGTTGCATGGGCACAGGGGCTGCTGAGCAGCAAAATTCTGGCAAGCAGCTGGGATGGGCACATCTTCCCGCATTTCCCACCAGGAGTGCAGCCAGGTGATGCGAGAACACCCTTCTTTGGAGGATGGGACAGTGAGACTTGGCTGGTGGTTTCAACGGTTTTCTTTCCCGGATCTTCCATTTCTTGCAATAAAGGATGCAGATCTCTGGTTTCGAAGTGCTTCCAGGGACCCTCTGCAGGAAACCGAAGTACTTGATTGCACTCTTCGATTGTAAACAACCCCCGGGACCACCCCCGGTGACACTTGACACATACAGAATGCTGACAGCCAGGTTTTTGGGAGGCAAACCTTAAGAAAGTCAGACTTCTTTGACTGGCAGAGAAACATGGTATGGTTTCCTGAAAAAATCCTGCAGCATTTCCCGCCCCACGCACCAGCATGGGCTACCATGGGCTACCAGGATACCTGGCTCCTCGCCAGCTGCTTGATTGTCAACAACTTTTTGGTGGCTGACCAAATGCGACGCCTCACCTCCGTAGCCAAGCAGCTTGGTGCAGGCATAGACGACTTTTTTTCGGCAGGTTGAAGGATTTTATTGCCAAACAACTGGGGATTTGGATGGGCTAAAGATGTGGATTCGACGGCAACAAATGAAGATTGAAGACATGCGAAGCATGAACATTTGGTCACCACGTGAAATTTGATCACAAAAAACTGGGGACAGAACAGCTTGCCGTGGTTTCACATGTTTCCAAGTTAATCCAAATATACACACAGTTCTTTTGCCATTGTTGCTGTGCATGGTGAACCCAGTTGACAGGTAGATAAGTTTTCGGTGCTTTGCAAAACGAAGATAAACGAAGCATCTATTGAAACCAATTCCATGCAGCTTGACTGAGTGTGAGTCACTCAGGTATGTTGCCTATGCTTTTGGATTGGTGTTTAGTTACTTGGCCCAGCTCCACGAGGGTCGGGAATTCAGTCCTGTGCAAGCCTGCTCATGCTTCGGCATTGCGCTGGTGGCAGTGGCAACTTGGTAGCGTTGTGGAACAGCCCTTTTTCAGTGGTTGGACTGGCAACGGCAGGTGCCCTTTGGGTTAAACGGGCATTTGGCAAAACTGCTTCCACCGCAAACTTCTGTGAAACCTTGTGAGGCATACATCGCTACCCCAGCTGGCGTGAAAGACAAGAAGAGCTAGGGCTCCTTGATCCTTCATGCGGACAAATGTACCGTGCAGATGTGCCTTTTGGTCCTGAATCTGTGCCAAACATGACCGCATGACGTTCCAGACAAGAACAGCTGGAAATTTGGCTGTCTCCTTTGTTTGGAATCAGACCATTGTCCCATTGACCCGTAAATTGGCAGCCTCACGGGCCCGTTTGAAATGGGCTCGTGGTGGAGCTGAGCAGACGTCCACTTTTGCGGTCAGACTCGCGGCCGAAAATTGACAGAGCACCTGGGAATTGGATGACATTTGAAAAAACATGCAATCTACCCAGATCCCAGATCCCAAACGATTTTCAGCACTCACTTATAATATGTAATTGTATATGTATATATATATAACTCTTATAATATGTATATATATAACACTTATAATATATACATATATATATATATTATATATATATTATATTTATATTATATATATTATATATATATAATTATATATATATGCTCGTTTCAATTCCGATGATAAAATTCCTGTATTCTTGGCGCTCAAATCTCAGCTTTGACAGTCCTTCTCTAATGGGTACGGTGAAACTGCCAGGCATGAGACCGCTGAAGGACTGGCTCCAGTCCTGCCTCCAGTGCCCGCCCGTGCCGGCCCGCGGGGCTGCCAAATCTCCTGTCGGGAAATCCCTGAGTTTTCCAATGGACCCATGGGGAAGTTCTTTAGGAGGATGGCTCCATATGGCCCCCTTGAGAGCATGGGCCAGCCAGAGGCTGCGAAGGGGTCACCTGGGTCCACGCGAGAGGCGTGGGCGTGGCGTCGCTGAGGAGGGTTTGTCCCTCAATTTATGGCAATTTGAATGGGGAAGATGATGATCAACCATCAAAGTCCTGTGGGTACCCGGGGTACCCTATTTCCAGACAAAGGCCATGGGTCAAAGAATGCAACCCAATCATGGATGGTTGCTGTAATGTGTCTCAAAAACAGTCAATTTGAATTATGCATTTTTTTTGACCCATTTTGCACCTCGATTTTCTCTGACCGGTAGAGTTTGAATTCAAAATAATAGCATGAAGACAACATGACGGAATGACAGGCATCTCGGCTCTCAAAGCGTAGCGCGGAGACTTGTCTTGCTCAGATGCAAGAAAAGGTTGCTGACTGTCGCATGCTTGGATTATGTTTAACATTCACACCATTGAAAATGGTACGTCTCTTGGGTGCGCATGAAGTGATACGTTGAGCACCCCCGTGGGCTTGCAGTTTCCAAGAAAGAGTCAAAGCCCCAAAGCCCAGACACCCAGAAAGCCGAGAAGGGAGCCCCACCTTGCCATGGAATGCTTGGTTGCCTTGGTCGCTGCTTGGACCTAGGCAGCTGGGCGGCTGTTCTGAGCCATGACGCGAATCAACGAAGAAATAGAATGATGATGACTGATCATGTCTCATGGACAGATAAACATGATAAGCACATGATGAATATGAACACCAATATACACATACAATCAAGTTTCACCTATAGAAACACATGAACAATATACCCAGGTGCTGGGTTCATCCAGTCGCTTGTGACCTCTGCACCTGGAGGTGCAAGATGGGTAGTGGTGCCAGTGCTCCCTCGTCCTTGCGAGGCGCCGAGGGTTTGAAAATCATAGGTTGCAGCAGGTTGTTGACCCCGATGATGCCCAAGCTATGGATGGTCTACCATGGTCTACCGTGATTTTTGATGCTTTAAGCGGAAACAAAAAGGGCATCGCAGAAACTGGATGGTCCCAGAAACTGGATGGTTAAAGCTATGGTTTGATCCCCAAAACTGGATTTTCCTAACTTTCGAAATTGAATGGTTTCCTCTGGAAATTGGCACCGTAGAATCCATGATTTCACCTCCGGAAGACGGGGCAGGGCTGGGCAGGGCTTGCCTCATGGCGGGGCTTGCCGCGCAGGCCTTAGCAATGATCCCGCTGGTCTCATGGCGTTGATCGATGCTGAGCGGCGTGAGTATCTTGACGTACAGGTCACTTTGGAACCCCAAGGAACCTACCACTTTCTGAGGTGAAAGGCAGGATGACTAGCATTTTCAGCTAGCCAGGTATACACACAGACTAGTTGACTAGTTTTGTGTGAAAAACCCATGGCCACATCCTTGTTTGAATCAAGATTCAGCAACCAAAATTTGACGATTCTGTTTTTTTTGATGAAGATTTTCTACTAAGAAAAGGCCCATGTTGGGGGGGAAAACACCATTCATTTCTGGTCCTTTGAGGTCTCGTTAGTCCATGTCCACAGGGATCTATGAAGGGGACTCATTGTCCCAATGGATTTTGGGATGGCCAGTAAGCCCCTAGTTTAAGGACTGGCTTATTAATCTGGGGTTAACATTAACCTGTTTCAAGTGGAAACCAAGCTAGTCACAGTTCCCAGTGGACATGCGAGTTGTGAGCTTGAGAGTCGAGGAATACCACCCGAAACCCCGGTGGTTGATGGTCATATGGGCCTATACTCATTCACAAAATCGGATGGGAAGATTCACGGGACCCCCCCAAAAGATGATGATATGATGATGGTCAAAAAGCCATGGATGTGGATTTTGCCCAAAGCTCATTCATGAACCAACCAGTGGAAAGGCTGTCCTGTGCTGAAGTGAGGAAGCAGTGGCTCGCCAATCAGTATGATTTGAAGTGTGCAGAGGCGGTTGAACTCCGGCTGCTTGGCGAATCCGCACTCTCCCAGTGGTTCAAAGATGTTCAAAGGACAATTTACAGGACGACCCTATATTTTGATAGTAACAACCATGGTTTTCCCGTAGATTTTACTTATCTTCTGGTAATCAGTCGCATGGTTTGCTGGAAAGGCTTGAACATTTTGGTCGATGATTTCCCCCTTGACATGCCCTTGACATGCCCAAGTTTGACGGGGATTTCCGTTCATGTCGCATTAGTATCCCCATTATGGTTGATTTGAATCTCCATTTATTCTTGGTGAATCCCATCCCATTAATTTCCATTCATTTCCATAAATGAATACATGTCCCACTACAATGGGAAACTAATGGGATGTCATGTCTATATGGGATAAATAGATGCCCCATGAATTTCCGTAAATTTCTATATGGTAATAACCATCAAATCCCACTTCCCATTAAAGTTGAGGCATTTCCCAATAGCGGAGCGCTGGATGCCTTTCCTCAGGTCACAGCTGGAAGCGTTGCAGCGAGCGGCTCAGCCTCCAAGGCACGGGGGCTGCGGGGCTTGGTGTGGCTTTTTGGAGCTTTGGACTGGGATTTATTGGATTTACCCTGTAAATTCACAGTTGGACCCTGCAAAATCAATGAAAATCACAGTTGAGTGGAAACTAATCAATGAAAAAAAAGCAGTTTGACCTGAACATTACCACTTTTAGTGGATACTAATCTTCCAACCCCTGGCAGGGTCGAAGTGTTAATTTACTGGAGGGTAATGTAACCAACATGGTGACTTAGTGGGAGCCGTGAATCCAACATAGTTTTTTGGTGGATTTGTATATTGTGAAAAAAATGGTGAAAGGGGGAACTAGGACAAGAGAGGTTGGAGGTTGGTTGGGAGGTTGTTATGTTTTTGTTCAATATTGTAAATCTAAATGTTTGACTGTTTCTTTTTGATTATCTGATTATCTTGCTAAATGTTTTGTTGAGGTTGTTGTGATAATGTTTGGTTTGGATGAGGGTAGGTTTTGTTGAGGGTGTTTTGGCAGTTATGGTTTTTAGGTTTATGTTCAATGTTTGTTCCTGATGTTTTTTTCTGGGGCTGTTTTTGGGACATTTTAGGTCAAAGTGTTCATGCTTACCTTGTTGATATTTTTTTGCTTGATTTATGTTTTGGTTAGGGTTTGTCTAGGTTGTTCGGGCTATATTCTGAAGCAGTCCTTCTTATGCTCTCCGGTTTCCTTGTCTTGGTTTCCCCAATCACCAACACCTGTGTCAACGCCAAACACATGCATCGTGTCTGGAGTTTTTTTTAGGAGGTTGCCAAGTGTCCCATCTGCCTTTGTCGTTTTTTTCATTGTCCTTCCTATGCTTCCTGTTCCTCCTGTTCTTTGCTGACGCCCTCATTTTCAACACGTCGGGACACCCAATGCTTGGAGAAAGGACTTGTGCGAACTTGTCCTGTGTCATCTTGTGTCATCTTGCGTCATTGTGCAGACTTGCTCTCATGTTGTTGTTATTTTTGTGATGGTATGTGATGGTGTTGATTTTGAACATTCGTGTCTGCCATCTTTGTTTTCTCCAGCAACATTGGGGGCTCAAAACCCCACAACAGCCAAAGGATGCTGGGTACGTGGGCGAAATGGATTGGGGAGAAAAGTGTGCCCCTCATCTTTGGTAGTGGGGTCAGCGGCTCTGTCATAGCCATTGCGTGGAATGCCACCGAGCAAGACCGGATGGCTCGTGCCATCCAAAAGGGGCGCTTCCGCCCAAAAAAGCCTGAGGAGTTCCAATTGGAGTTCCTAAACTTTGACCTCCCAGCCATCCACCGAGGTCTTGGCAAGAATGGCATGGTGGCTCTCATTGGCATGCAAGCCACTGGGAAGACCACCACGCTCCAGCATGTTCTGTGTGAGGCCGAGAACCCCTTTTCCCTGGAGGTCTCCCACGACGATGTGCATCGAGCCATCCACAATGAGCTCCGCAAAAACATTTGGAAGCTCCCGTGGCTTCTGGATGGCATGAGGGTAGATTGGGGAAAGACCCACAAGGATGTGGTGACCGAGGTCTTTGAGAAAGTGACCGAGAAGACCCAGAAGCCGGTTCGCCTCGGCTTTGATGTGGTGGCTGTGACAAAGCACGGAATAGATGAGCGGCATGTCTCCAACATCATTGAGGTGACCACGGGCAAAGAAAACCTGCATTTCCCTACCAACTTTGATGCGAAGTTCTTCGTGAAGCAGGTCAAATCCCTTTGCGCAGACAGGCATGTGTCATCAGCCCTCATCTCCTCCAGCGAGGGCTTGATGATGCTGTTCCTAGGAGAGCCTCGTCTTGACAAGATGCTTGGAAGGGAATTGCCCATCTCCAAGTCCAAGGCATACCTCAAGGCCTTGGGTCAGGAGAACATCAGCGATGCTGATGGAGATGCCCAGAAGCTTTGAGAAGTTGAGGGGGTTGAGCGCATCAGCAGGCAAGGAGGCCTTTTGCAACAAGGAGATGCAAGGGTGGGTGAGTGCCATTGAGAAGACCAACGGTCAGCCCTTCACAAATGTCAAGGGACTTTACCAGAAGGCCTTGAATGAGCCGATCGGCATTAAGGACATCAAAGTGGCTACATCCGGCAAGTGGTGCAGACCCCGAGGAGACCTTCATCCAGCATATGGTCAAGACCAACATCTTCACGCCCCGAGATGATGGTTGTTATATGAGCTGCAGTTTGACTGTCAGCACAAGGCCGTCAAGAAGGTCTTTGAACTGTAGAACCACTGAGGGGCATTTGTACTGTTCAGACAATCACTGCCCAATTGCGGTATCACACAGACAGACACCTTTGGACAGCCTTCATGAAAAAAATGTAGGCCTTTTGCGAGACACCTTGATCAGTGAGACCCTTTGCCTTGATGAGCACTCCCTCATTCCCTCAAGGATGAACACGGTCTTATAGGAGTATGAGCGCAGCTTCATAGGGGACGAGCCAACAATCATCAGGTATGAGCCCGTCCTCATCAAGTATGACCTCATCCTCATATGAGACAACCCTCATTTCTATTCATTTTTAGTAGGGATTTTGGATGATGATGACATCATCCTCTTATGAGCCTACCCTCATAGGGGATGAGCCTTCCAGTGTGAGGGGGTGTTGCGCCCATTCCGAGGTCAAAAAATCATCACTGACGAGACCTTCGTTGAGGGTTGGCTGGGTTTCAAACAAACATTGTGGAACAATGTTCAACGTTTTTTATGGAACAAATCCATTCAAGTGAAGATCACAAGAACAATTGCGGGTAGCCTTCAAAAGCCCAACTTTCAGTGAGGAGTTCAACCAACGCGTGTAGGGAGTGTCGATTTTGGACAATTCCTAAACTGTATATTCATTGGTTTTACACCCGTTCTTTGAAGATGCGATATATGATACATCTATAGTCTATAACCCTACACCCCGCAATATTCATTTGTCAGGATGTCAGGCGACCGTGTCTTTCGTAGGGTCTGGGTTCGGGCTCTTTTGTTTTTCATTCTTGGGGGCATCCACATTGAGTGGACGAAAGAAATAAAAGGAGAAGGAGAAGAAGGGGAAAAAAAAGGAAAAAAAACACGGGAGCGACGCGCTCGGCTTTTGCAACTTCAATGCACGTCCCAGTGGTGGCAGACAACAATGACGATGAGGACGAAGACGACAACGACTCTAAGTCTGGTGAGAATGGATGGACATTTTGATTTTAGTTCTTTATTCACTCGTGTCCATGTTGTTGATGATGATTTGTTCCCTCCCCATATCTCTCTTGACAAAAAACATTCCCCATTTGGTGGGTGGCGAATATTCTGACATTCACATCTATGACACCCTCGCCACAAGACAAATCGTTGCGCTATCCATTTTGGTGAAACGGTGTCTATACCAAATCCCTCGGCTTTCCAACGCAAGACCCAAAAATACTTAAAGACAAGTCGCCTTATGTAATTAAGATTTGATATGCCCTGCTATTTAGTAATTGATGGTAAGAAACAAGAAATGGACGAGGACATCTTTGACCAGATGGTTGAAGCACTCCATCAACCTACAATCCAAGAACCCCCAATGCCAACCTCCACAAGATGGCAACCCGATGGAACTTATGACAAGAAACCCAACGACCCAAACTACTTCTCAAAATACTATCAAAAAAATTATCAACTCCTTTCACCTGTCCCGACTGCGGACGGACAATTTCGTCCAAATCCAATCTATCAAAACATCGTCAAACCAACATTTGTATGAGGAAAAGATGCCAGTGTTGAAATCCAAAATTTTCTCAATAACAATCATTTCTATTGGGAAGGTTTTTATGTTGAAGTCCAACCCCAATCCCAAAAAATCCAACAGGCAACCCATACCCAAAAACTACTTAAAGAAATGCCACCTTATAGGGTATAGTAAATGGCAGAGGATACAAGGTTGAAACATTCAAAAGACATGTTATATATTAAAACCAATCCAACAACCAATCAAATCAACCACAACATCCTCAACAAACAATTCACACTGAAAAACTACTTAAAGAAACAGATGATAATAATAATATAGATTATACTATAATGGACTGGACACTTCACAGCAGATTGTTTTGGATTATCTTTTGTCATCCGAAAAGGGTGAGATATTGAAACGGAATGGTGAAGAACTCAAAAAATTCAAGATTGGAGACAAAACCTACAACTTTGAAAGGGGGAAACCCATTTCAAAGAGGTTGATTACCAAATTCAACAAGATTAAGCAGACTATGGACTACAAAAAGTATGAACTGAAAGAGAAGAGAGGCATTAGATGGGTCAATCTGGACAAGAACAAAGCACTCGCAGGCATTCAAATGAGATACAAAGCAACCACCACCTGTGATACGGTGGGGTAAATGTAGACAAGTATGGGATTTCATGGTGATTTTCGAGTGACTTCATAGGACTCAATGATACTTAATGTGGCTTTAAGCAACAAAACATGGTGACTTAATGGGATGTAATGGTGATACAATGGTGATATAATGGGGTCAAAATAGATAGATAGATAGATAGATAGATAGATAGATAGATAGATAGATAGATAGATAGATAGATAGATATATATATATACATACCATCCGGTAATATCAGAGTTTGCCATGGAAAACACGGCTCATTTGCACAGTTTTTTTGCCAATAAAACAAGGCAAATTTCCATGGAAAACGGGCAAATTACCATGGAGTCATGTGTAAATCCCAGATTTCAGGCGGTTTTCAAACCAGGTGCCATGAGCCATCGGCGCCATCGGCGCCATCGGCGAGCAACGCGTCATCTCCGGCAAAGTCGGGATGCAGTGTGGTCTATGAGGCTGGGTGTGTCTGGGAAAAATGCAGGAACGGAAGATATGGTGAAATTCATGAAGCATCTTGGGAAAACAGGGCAAGAATGCATAAGAATGCCATGGAAGTTGAGGTGGATGATGGTGAATGCATCCTTCAAATCCATGCAACGGGATTCATCCTGGCTGTTTCCATTTGTTTCCTCCATTTTTTTCGATGCCAGGGACGTGAAAGTCCAAGCCTCTCAAGTCCGGTCAGCAGTCCGTGTAGCCGTGGTGCCCTGCGGGATCGTCGAGGGCTTCAGATTTCCTTGGACACCAAACCCAGCGTGCCTTGGTAGCGACGTGGGATGTGGGGGGTAGCTGAGCTGATTTTTCTTTGGGATCCTTCCAGCCCATGAATTCGGAATATGTACCCTCTGGTAAACTAACACAACTATGGAAAATCACCACTTTTAATAGGTAAATCACCTATATCTATGGGTCATTTTCCAGTTCGCTATGTAACAAATTACCAGAGGGTTTTCAGCAATAAAAATGTGATGGGCTCGTTTTTTTTTTGGGGGGGTCTCATGGCTCGGAAAGCGAAACCAATCAGAATCAGGTACCAACTTCGAAGGCATCTGGCTCCGAGCAGCAGGACGGAAGGTTTTTTTTTTTTGGATATGTTGGGATCAGAATGCCAAGGAAACATGTCCAAACATGGGAACACACACACACACATATATATATATATACATATACACATAGTAATAATATAATAATAATATAATAATAATATAATAATAATAAAATAATAATATAATAATAATACAATAATAATAAAATAATAATATAATAATATAATAATAATATAATAATAATATAATAATATAATAATATAATAATATAATAATATTAATAATATAATAATATAATAATAGAATAATAATATAATAATAATATAATAATAATATAATAATAAAATAATAATAATATTAATAATATAATAATAATATTAATAATAATATTAATAATATAATAATAATATAATAATAATAGAATAATAATATAATAATAATATAATAATATAATAATATAATAATATAATAATAATATAATAATAATATAATAATAATATTAATAATATAATAATAATAATATAATAATATAATAATAATAGAATAATAATATAATAATAATATGATAAATAAATAACTAAATATATAAATAGATACATAAATAAACAACTAACTAAATAAATAAATAGATACATAAATAAATAACTAACTAAATAAATAAATAGATACATAAATACATAAATACTAAATACATACATACATAAATAGATAAATACATAATAAATAAACAAACAAATAAATAACATAATATAACTCTCTCTCTATATATAATGGGAAAAATCTACAGATGGGATATGGTGGGATGCATGTGTGTATATATATATAATATATATATAATATAATGGCTTAGTAATCCATTACATGGGGTAAATATAACGACCGAAGCTTGCGACGTCACTGGAATAATGGTTAGAAGTGGAACTTCTCAGGTTGGTGAAGTAATGCAATTTATATACTTCAATTTATGGAGACGAATTTGGAATCTGGCATGAAAACCGACCACTATTAATTATAAGGGGATGTCCCAAGATGTTTTTGACACTCACATGCCGACCCAGCCAGACGCAAAACAGGTTTCTGATGCTCTTAAATCTTTTTCCGTTCATCCCACCATTCGTGATCAACTGCATTCCACGCCTTCTTTGGAGGGGTATGGATGGAAACTGAAGCCACGGACTAGACAAGCGGTTTCAAGTTGCCTTGCGGAAATTCTTGCGATAGCCTGACAGGTGGCCCAACCAGCACGCAGACTGTTGCAGCCTCAGAGATTGGGCTCTTCGAACTGACCGGTCTTGCGTTTAACATAGTGGATGACCCTGGGCATAGCGAAAAATATGTACCACGGAAATGACGTATATTTTGTCTGGGTCAGGCCGCCAGGCCTCCATAATATCTTTCGTTTTGTTGAAGAAGTAGATATACGAACTGGTATCAACTGTATATAATATGTGTATATATATAATATATATATAATATATATATATATGTATCATGTAGACAAGCAGGTGCACGTGATCATATGTGAGCATGTTTTTTCCACTGATGGATCATTTTGCCAGTCTAACAGTGTCTTAGAAGCTCTGCATGAATTTTTGTTGGTGCTGTTGCTGTGAAGATTATAGTCTACCAACTGCTACTTGTAAGCAGCCTTGTAGTTATAGATTTATACGCATTTTTGTTCACTAGAGCTTTCACTATTATTATCCATACTATCATGTAGTTATACTTGCGGTAATCAAACGTGGCACAGAAAATCTTCCATTTTATATGTGTTCCCCATTAACACCTCTATCTATAGCATAGGGCATTTTCCATTGCAACGTTCAATTACTGGAGGGTATACCAGTAAAAATGGAGGTTTAACCATCCAAAATTGGGATTTAACCATCAGAGAGTGGACATTTACCAGAATTTAACATGATTGAACCAATGCACATAGCCTACCATGGTGTACTACAGCATAGAGAATTTTCCATTGCCACATTCAAGTGGACCTCTCTGAGTCAGGTCCACTGGAGGTCTGAAAGTTCCCCCGGAAGGAAGCCAGGCGCTTGAAAGTCTCGGGGTGTAGTGGGAGATCAGGGGATATTCAGGGGATATTCATGGGATCGAGGTGGTATTACTGCCGGGAGTTATGAGACATCATGGGATAACTAGTAACATCACTAATAACATTGATAACAATTACAGTACAACACTGACAATAGTCAAATTATACTAATTAATGATAATAATAAGAACGCTAATATCAACAATAGTCTTGTCAACAACAATAACAGTGATATGGCGATGGGTCAATACCTATTATTACCATATTTTGGGGAATAACCATCTACTCACCAGCTATTTTAGAATACCTAGGGTACCAGGGTTTTGACCCATAACCATATGAATCATCCTAGTAAACATCCTATGGGGTGTCGTCCATAAAGGTGCGCCGTTGTGGCGTTCGAGCCTCCGCGGAGGCTCGGCATCGGAATTCCGTGCTGGGCTCGGATGCCGATTTGCAGTTCTTGGGCCAGCTGAACACTCAGGCGCAGGGAGTTTGAAACAACGAAGAACCGTTTTTTTTTGGGATGATTTTTGGCCAAGGAAAATGCGGAATTTGGCCAAAGAACATGGGAATTTGGCAAAGATGAGGATTTGGCCGATGAAAATGGTGATGTGCCCAACAACAAGGAGTTAACCAACATAAAATGGAATTTCACTAGATTTCAACAAGTAACAGTGACTTGTATGACCAACAAAAATGAGGATTGATAATCATAGATGACCTTTTTCCCACCTGGTTGGTTGATGCTCACCAGAAAAATCACGGTGAACTGAAGCATTTTAACGAGCCAAATTGGTTGATCGAGTCCCATAAATGTGGTTTTTCTATGTTTTTCTTAACCAAAAATCCAACAAGAATGCTGGTTAATTGACCAATTAACCACCATAAACCAAAAACAAACGTGGATTTTGGGCATGGATGTCTTTCCGGAAACTAGTTGGTGGATGAAACCAGAAGGGTATTGCAGAAATTTGCACCCTCAGTTCTTCCAAACCATTCCGGACAAATGTTGTCCCAAAACGATCCCAGGATCCCCCCATATTTTCCCAACTGGACATTGTCTCACAGAATTTGATGGGAGTATTCTTACAGGACACCTCCATGATGAAAAACAAAAATCATGGTGTCAAGTGTCAAACGTGTCAAACGTAGAGGCTTACCCTTTGAGTCCATTGATTCTGGATGGCTGCTGATCAGGTTGCAAAGCAGCACCCCATGGAGGTTCCACCATCCCCAAAGAGATTGCTGAGCCAAAAAACTTGGGCGACTCGCCCTGCAATGGCTGGGCGATTGGGGCAAGACTCCTTCCCTCAATATTTGATAGATTTGATAGCAACCATTTTTATCCATTTTTCGGGATATGATGTGGCAATATGTGGGATATAAATGGATATAATATGGGAATAGAATGGGGAATCGGATAATCCTTTCCTCTCAACTTCCGAAGCCTTGGTCCAAATCTATTGGATTGAATTGGGGGCACCGACGGGCACCGAAAAAATGACTCGGCATACTCGGCGGCAGGGATTCGGCTGTTGATTTGAGTAGTCACTTTTTCATTTTGTGGGCGGAAACCGGACACCTGCAAGTTTTCAAAAGACTAGGTCTATCAATTCGGGGTTGACATTGGTTGCTAGTCCATGAAAGCTCGGATGCGCATCATTCCTGCGCGAGGCTTAGTGGAAAATCATGAGAGGCGAAGTATTGCTCTGGCGAAGACCGCCAGCACCGGAGGATTTCCGCAGTCCATTTGCCTGGAAGATGATGGCCAGGGATAGCAGCAAGTCGTTGGGTTAACATGGGCGGCTGAAGCACTGTGACCTCACTGCGGCTCAAGGTGACTGCTGAACAACAATAGTTTATGAGTTGGGACGTGGAAGATTCTGGGGCAAGTGTCACTTTTTCAGTCACACTTGTCTCAAGTTTGATCCTAGCATCAGCTACAAGAAGTGTGACGATGGCAATAGCACCTACTTTCATGCAGAAACTGCCATCAACTGTAACAACCAAAGTACCTAGGGAACGAATGAAGTATCGCACAGTGACAGAGTCAGCAATTGACTAAATAAGCAAAGTAACTAATGAAGTGGACAATCAGATACAATAAGTATAGAATAGTACAGATGGATGGACCAGTGGACGAACAACTAGATCAGCCGATGCATAGGCGTCAAGGGGTTCTTGGTTACCGCTTGGCTTTTGCATGGCATTTTGCAGGCAGCGGTTCTCCGGGGAATTTCACCGTGATCACGGGGTTATCTCATCCCATCTTCAGCCTGGTTGTGACTGGTAGATCAGCCTGTGTAGATATGTTACATCACAGGTGTGTGTTACTGTTACATCACAGGTGGAAAGTTACAAGTCACAAATTGTAGGTCTGCAAAGTTCTAACATTACCCTCCCGTAATCAAATGTGGCAGCGGCAACTGAACATTCGGTATTTATAGATGATTTTCCCCATAAAACCTCCATTTAGACCAATTAAAAACGGAGATTTCCAGTTGCCAGATTTGATGACCGGAAGGTATATTATATGTTGTGATGTTTAGTTATGTTTTTTAGGCAGATTCATCCCAGGTAATTGACCGGGGCCCCTGCAAGGCATGGCAGAAGTGCTTCACCACTTGGTGCCCCAGGCGCCGGGACGCAACTTTTTCTCCAAGCGATGATAATAAATTATGGGTATACCAACTTTCCCCAAGAATTATCAATGATTTGGTTAAAGTTCTGTTAAAACATGATGAGTCGACATGTATATATATATATATATAATTATATATATATAGAGTGCATACATTACATTACTGTACATTTGATTAATTATTTACATTGACGTGGGCCATTCGGTCCGCCAGGTGCTGCAGTGCTGCTAGCCCTGGCCTGCCAACTTCTGGACCAAGCTTGGGAATGCTTTTTCAGATTGCAGTCTGGGCCGCAGTTGCTACCTGCTTTGGGCACCGCAAACCGTTAAAAATATACACGTTTGTTTGAAAAACATCGAGAGAAGCATCGAAATAAATGGTTGTGCAAAAAGATCCCCAGAGCAATTGCTGCCTGGTTGGTGTTTTTTTTTTTAATTTTCCCCAATAGTTGGGATGATCCAGTCTGACGAACTCCATCATTTTTCAGAGGGGTTGACCCAATTTTCGGCGCTGCCGTTTTCCAGGCCATGGCAGTCCAAAGTGGCTGCACGAGTGGCGGTTCCAGGGTCCAACTGCGAGCAGAGACAGGTTGGGTC